CCAACCCACAGCACACGTTTTCCTGGGTGCATCACCCAAATACTTGATGATCTTTGAGGCCTTTTCCAACCTAAATGGTTCTACAGTGACTGGAGATAATGGCAGTAATGCTCTGTTTAGATCTCAGGAGTACCTCTGATTTTAAATGAAGCATATTTCTTCCTTAGAAGGAAAAAAAAAGCCCCAAACCAAAAACCTCTTGGAACCCCAAATCCCATCCAGTCTTGCTCCTGAAAACGCTATTTCAATCTGTGCAAAGTTCAATGTGGTATAGAGGGTTTATCATATACTTACCAGGAATGGTGTTGATTCCCTTTCTCTGTACCTTGCAGATAAAGCGAGCAGACCTTGAGCCAGAAATAGTCTCATCTACAGAAGAAACAGAGTTCTTCTACAACAGGGGCATTTAGAGATTGGCTTAATATAGGAGAGTGTGCTCTGGTGGAAGTGGATTCTGAATGTACGAACAAATTCATCCGGCCTGTGCGCCCGTATCATGAATTTATGGTGGCATACATACAAGACTTGGTGTACAGGGCTGTGGTCTACGAAGAGGCAGACGTTGCAAGATGATAACTGCAAGGCCCAGCCCACAGGGACATACACACACAACTCGTACCAGGAAGCAGCATAACATGGTATTTGTCACAAACGGCATCTGGATGCTTCTTCCTGTGATTGATTTCATAATTAAAGGATTATTGAATATGAAAGGTTGTGTTGCTGCTGATGTGGCTGCAGCTGTGGACATGCTGCTTTACACAGCTGGTAAAGGTGGTTGCAGCAGTAGTCCTTTGGGTGAAGGTGAGCTGGTTCTTGGAATACTTACTCCGTGGGTTCCATTGTATTTAGGAACACTCATTGCAAGGATGAGGCATGAGTGAGGTAGCCATTAAAGTGGTACTAGAGAAAGCAACCCTGATGGCAGTATAATATTTGTTCAATAAGAACTCTCCAGGAAATGGGTGTCAGACTTGGTTTCAGAGGGATTCCTGTCCTTCTCAGCATCTTTGAAGGAGTTTTGAGGCCTGATCCTCTTGACATTTAGAACTTGTTTTTACACTGAAGCCACTGGAAAATCCTGTGGCTTCCTGACCTTGTTGTGGACAATGAGGGATCCCACTTTTGCAAGTTGATGGTACTTATCTAAAGAGAAAAGCTGCCTTTTGAGATGTGGCATAAGGATTATCCTAGTGATCATCAGAATTAGCCAGGGGAACCAGGGCTGTCTGTGAAGAGCTGCAGAAAGAGTTTTTAATACCAGATGTAAAAACAGGTGAAACACAAATGGGTAAGTGAAAAGTAATGAGCTTGGCAAAGGGGATAATCCAGCTTCACATGGGGCTGCAAGCCACTGGGAGTGGAAGACTTAGGTTAGTAAAAAAGTTCTTCCTAGTACCTATCAGTGTGCTGAGGCACTGGAACGGGGTGCCCAGAGAAGCTGTGGCTGCCCCATCCCTGGCAGTGCTCAAGGCCAGGTTGGACACAGGGGCTTGGAGCAAGCTGCTCTAGTGGAAGGGGTCCCTGCCCATGGCAGGGGGTTGGAACTGTATGAGCTTTAAGGTCCCTTAAATCAGTCTGTGATTCGGTGGATTAAGGGTAGTGCAGACAGCTCAACATGTAGTGGAACTTTGAAGTACTTCCCACAGGGCTTTACAGATACTAAAAGCTGGCATGAATTTAAGAGAATGGGCATTTCCATCAAAGGGAATCCATTGAAGAATACTAAATCCATGGACACTACACCAGCAAAAAGAGGCTATAAGTTCCACACTGCTGGTGAGTGGAAGGGACAACTAATTTATTTGCCTGTTGTCACTTTCTTCTTGTGTCTTGTTTTGGTGGCCATCAGGATATGACATTTGGCCAAACAGATCTTTGTCTGGCCCAGTACAGCTGCTTTCATGTGGTTTTGCTGACCTGCCACAGGCTCAAAATCAAACCTTCTCCTGGGGCAATAATGTGGACAAGCGTGGTAGGAGAGCCTGTGGTTGTGATAACTGTAGGCAGAGGTCATAGGAGACATGGCTTTGCAATAACTGATGTGAGGTTCTGCTGAAGCTGTGTGTGACAAGGATAGATATGCACTAAATAACATAATAATCACTTCCACAGCAGTAATTTTACACTTACAAAATGTCTGCCATAATTTAACTTCCTTTAGCACAACACACAGGTCAGTGCTCTCCTATTGCTGGAGCATTAGATTGCTTTTTACAGTGTGAGAGAACCAGTGTTTCCCGATCTACTCCATCCCTACAGGAAGACAAGAGCCTGCAGCAAAGTAAGGCAAAACAGCAGGTCTTCTGCAGGAAAACAGTTCCTGCTGTGCTTTTGGCACTGAACAAAAGCAGGAAGTAGGGGGTTGAGTTTAGCTTCTTGTTTGAGTTCTGCCTTTTCTGAGCCTTCCTCTAACAACATACTGCCAGACGAGGGAAGAGGACAAGGAAGTAACAGCACATCCTAAGGACCATGCTGTGAAGCTGTTCCAGGAGGACAGTATGGATACACCCATGTGCAACAGCAGCCAAAGGAGACACAAGCAGGGAAGATCACATCAGCCTCTGCTCTCCTGAGCTGGGAGGACACTAGGAAGGAGGATGCTTGTCCTGCTCTTTTTCCTTAGATAGCTCAGGGTCAGCTGGAACAGGGTTACAGTCTCAACCTGCTGCTCTCAATGACGTGTTTGTCTCCTTCCAAATCTTTAGTAACAGTGGCACCATTAACATCCTACAGTTAAATACTCCAAACCCCCATTTGTCTATTAGTCCTATTCCAATAACATACCAGAAGAACCTCAGCTGGGGTCTCATTCCACTCTCAGCAGACATTAAATGGCAGTGCAATGAAGACCTGCACCTCTCCCACTCCTTTTTAATCGTGATTTAAGAATAGCTAAAGTAAATACCAGTTACATGAGCCACAGTGGGAGCAAAGAAAACAACAAAACAACCCAAACCCCAACATTAGAGCAAAGCCAACAAATTGGAGATAACACATCCATAACGTTGAGTTGTCCTGGCAACCAGACAAGCCATAAATTCTCTGGCACCAGACTTGGATGTTTTAAGCAAATTGATGTCATTACAGCTCTGTGAGTAAGGCTGATGGAGCAGGGCTGGTAACAGTGGCTGTTATTACAGCTGCCTATTAGCAAACTCTGCTGGCTTCTTACTGAACACCCCAGTTGAAACTTGCCACATTAAACACAGCTCCCTCTGGGTTATTAAATCTCTCTTTGCTTTCCCCCCTCTCTCTATTGCCCTAACCAGAATGTTCCAGAAGAGTAGGGCAGGCACCTGCCACTTAAATTGGCAGCCTGGGCGATTCAGCTGCTTCCCAAATCAGGGCAGGGAATACACATTGATAAAAAGGCCCCAACACCCTCAGTCCTGAAAGAGAGCCATTGTGAGATTAGGAGGAGACTTGTCTGGATTTACTGGTAATGCAGTGAGGAGAACAAGACTGGGACAAGAAGCAGAGCATCCTGTTTGAAGGACCTGAGAGTCAGCACCTACAGGAAAACCTTCCCTTTGTAACATGGAACAGGTTAACAGCATGCATGCCCGAGGCAGGGCTGTCTCCTGTGTTAAGTGACAGTGCACTGGTGGTGGAACCAGTTTAAGGTGTGGTAAACTACAGCAGCTGATTTCAGCTTCAAGGAAAACATGCCTCAGAACGGCAGAGTGTGCTGCTAACACTTCCCCACCTGCTCAGCTTGTCATCTTGAAATTGAGGAACACGACATGAGGCTTCCATGTCTCTTTAATGGAGCTTTAATATAATAAAATCAGCTACTCCCATGTTAGGAAATAACCAGATCAAAGCATTTCCCCAGCTCGAGCTGTGTTAGCCCCAAGCCTCTAACACAGCCATGCTGTTCTTCCCTGTGGGCCATAGGGGTGGAGGAAGGAAGGAAGGAAGGAAGGAGAGAGGGAGGGAGGGAGTCCTGCACTGCAGCTCCTTCCCCATCAGACAGGGAACAACAACATGCTACACGCTGCACAGCATGGCTTGGGAAGCAGCTGTTGCCCAGGCTTTGGAGTCTCACATCACTTGGCAGCTACAAGGAATGACCTCACCTGACCAAAGATCCCTCTAAGTCCAGCTGCTGCCAAGGGAGAGGTGTGAGGCAGCTGTGGACTTCCCACACAGAGCACTAAAACAGCTTGGTTTCTATCTAGCAGTGAATCTGCTTCAAACATCATCTCACGACACACTAGTGACAAATCCTCGTTAGCCCTTTGGCAGCAGGCACAGGCTGAAAGCAGAAGCAGCTTTCAGTAGTTCCATGACTGTTTATGCTGCTGCCCATGGCAAGCCTTTACCTTGTTCACTATCTACCTTCCAATGTCTGCAAACATAGTGAAGTTAGACTCCAGCTAGCACAAGAGCTGGTTCACGTGGGCAGGGAGTGAGGCAGTGCTCAGGGAGCACCTTTTGCCTCAGCTGAGGAAGGAGCAGTGCTACGATTTTCATTTGAATCCAGGGCTTTCAATTATTATACACCCCTTTTGGAGGTGTGTCTCACAGCAGGGCGACAGGAACCATCACTCACTATTTTGTATTTATCGGGAACAGAAAGGCAGTAGAACATGAAGGTATGAATGAAATCTTCATTTTACACAGTCTGCTTCAAGGAGGAAGAAGAAAGGATGTCATCTGTGTCATCTGACTGCAAAACCAGCAACTGCACACACAGTCTGCTTGTACACATCCTGGGGAAAGGGAAGTGAGAAATAAGCAGAAATCCTTCCCTCTCCTGACCCTTCAGATTTTCCTATTCTAAAACTTCCTGAGAGGAAACAGTGTCAAAAGTCATTAAGAAAACATGGAACAAAAAAACCCAGATGACAAAACTGGTTGACCATGTAGTAGACTCTTTCCAACCTCCTTAACATCAAGCTGTAGCTTGACCCCAGTATTGGCAAACTAAGAGCTGAGGCCTATGACTCAGTGCTCACAGCTATCCAAGAATAAATTCACATAAATTAAGGGACAGGTTATTCAGGGTTCTTTTAATAGGCATGAGCATGCTCCGAGTCCAGTTTCTTAAGTGCAAAATCATATTTCATTGGTTTCACACACAACAGATCTACCATAAAACAGAGGTTTTCAACTGGAACGTTTCCAAACCAGAAAGCAAACCAGGCATTCAACATTTAATCTGTAACTGAGCTTCTCTGCTTTTTGTGGTTGTCTCTTAACAGCCAAACTACCTTAACGACACACCTGGAGCTTCCTGTGAAGAAGAAATTGAATTTCTCCACAGTTACAAGGTGGTGGTAAGACTGAAAGCGCACTCCGCTTTTTCTTGGCGAAAAACTTCCAAATAGGCCCTGAATGGAATTTTCAGCATCATTTTGCAGTTCTGCTCTTCCAACTCTTGTAAAAGTCTCAAACCAGAAGCAGCAATATTAGAAAAACCAGTAAGAAAAAGCATTAATGAGCAAATGGAGAAAGAAAAGCTGCAGAGCACATACAGGTAACCAAAGGTGACTACAGAATTCTTCTCAGAAGGAAAAAGGCACGTGCTTCTGTGTTCAGGATTTAAACTGCAGAGGGAGTGTTTAACGTAGGATTTTAGACCCCTGAAAATAGGGGGTTATTCTGAAGCACTTCATTTACTGACCGCAATAACACCATTTTCTATATAGATGCCACGTTCCTTAATCACATTCCAAAACAGATTTTCTTCACGCATCACACATAGCAAAAGACACCCCTGTTTTCAAACCAATTGCACATGGTTAGTGAGGAGTTCTACCAGTTTCAGAATAGCAAACATCCAGCTATTTATCAATATAAATATTGATTACTAAAGTTTTAATCCTAAGTATAAAAATCTCTATGTAAAACCACATGCTAGCTGTACAAAGGCCAGGAAAAGGGTTCTTAAACCAAAGTGCTACTGCAGAATTGACTCATTTGTTGTGGCCATTTCTGAAGGAATACGGATTGGCTCAGTATTTCCCTACAAAGGCTCTAAGTTCTTCTCAGAAGATTACAAAACAGTTAGTTTCAGGCTGCTCAATGAAAGAACAATAAAAACCTCTTGAGTTATGGCTATGCAACCAAACAAGTAGGCAAATTTTAATTCTTTCTAAACTATCTTCCAGTTTTCACTATCACTTCAAAAGTTTCCATCTAGATTTAGTCTACACAGAGCACCATCAGACAGTACCTGTGTTACAGCTCAAGCAGTTTAAGAGGCTCATGTTCTACTTGTGGTACCCAACCATTTGAACATCACTAGTCCATTAGGCTTTAACTCATCTGGTTTGCTGTCAAAAGCACCAGAGATGAGTGGCCAGGTATCTTCTCAGCTGAGAACACCAATTTCTTACATGACTTCAGCTGTAAAGCTGTGCTTGTCTGTGACCCCCTCCCCAAAGAAGCCCCATGTTACATACAGTCATCCTGTCCTCTTCTCCCTCCATTAGAGGCATGGGAGGGAGTAAAAGGGGGGGAAAAACTCTAAGGCAAGAGTTCAAAAGAGGTGCTTAACTCCCACCTGAGCTTTAAAATACCTCTTCCTTTATATACTAAGGCGACCAGGTCAGATTTTCTCAGGCATCCTTTTTTACATCTAGACACTTTCAAGTAGAAAGAAGAGAACTCATCCATTTATTTGGGATTTCCAGGTATGGGGCAGTCCAGAGCAAGAGCAGAATCTGACAGGCTCACATACCTGGAAGCCCAGAATGAACACTCAGCCCAACTGCACATTCAGTGTACCCCTGTGCAGAGACCAGCACATCCAAACTGCACTAGATTTACACCCACAGCCTGTGTTCCAGACCCCAGGAAGACGAGTCAGAGCTGTCTGACATCTGAAACCTGCAGGACAAACAGCCACTATAATCATGTCTGGCACAGCCTGGACACACAGGCCCGTGTCACTTGTATATACACTCATGTTCTGATATGAAATACAGGAGCCATATATACAAAATTATACTTGGGAAAGATAATGACATCAGGAATGTTCCCAAATATGCCTCCGCATGTTCCCAGTCAAGCTCCAATTTTCTGCATTATCATGGTAAATATGACTTCACTCTTACACCTTTAATTTTTCCACATAAAATATCAGGGATACCTAGCTGTATGGCAAAGACGGTATTTTGGAATTGGTCCATAAGACTGAAGTGCATCAAAAAATCAGATTTTGAGCATTTGTTCAGCAGCTGCTAAATGAAATAGGAAGTTTTCTGTAGCTGGTGGAAATCGCTTTTGTTTCAGAGCCTCAGAGTTCAGGGTTGGTTTTTCATTGCCATCAGAAGCTTCAGTAAGCGAGGCTAAAGTAGCCAGGATTTCTTTTGTCTTCAGAGAAATCTCCTTGAAAAACAGAAAACCAAGCAATGGTGTTAAGAATTCTAATACTTTAACATACATTTATTAAAAAACCTCAAAACCCAATAAGATCAATACAGATTAAAAGTAAAATATTGATAAAGAGTGAATTGAAAATAAAGATCCCATTCATTTTAAGGCAAACTTGCAACAGCGCTGTGTGTGATGCTGAATAAATGGAGCACAGCCTCTCCACAGGCTCAGTCTCTCCACAGGCTCCTCTCACTGGCCTAACTGAGTTCTTTTGATTAAGCTGCTCAGTTGTGAATGTCTAATAATCTATTAGATATTGGATACATCACAAAAATCAGGCTTTACAGCTGATAAGCTGTATCTCAGTAGGACTTTTTCAAAGGTATTGACGATGCTATTGACAAGGTGCTGAGCAAAAGACATGCTTTGTAGAATAAACCTGGGAAACTAATTTTGCTGAAGTCTTAGAATCAATACAATATCTGAAGTTTATTCAGCAATGTGGTTACCAAAGAGGTAATATAAACCAAGTCATCCTTGAAAACTTGTATCAAGAATAAAAATGCTCATTTGTGCAAAGGCAGAGGGCAGGAGATATTAGTTCTCAGGGACAATCTGCCTCCTCTCCCCCACTTCCACGAAGATTTAGCAATAACAGGAATTTAACTTAATTTAAAATTCCAATATTAACCTTAATGACTTGGCTGTCTGACTTCTCTGGGTCTTCTGCAGACTGAACAATTAGTTGTCCGATTTCTTTGTGAAGTTTTCCCATTGTCATTGCCTCTGGGTAAGGAAAATAACAAAGCACACATTCACACAAAATCACCATTTCTGTGGTATCTAGAAATATGTATGAATAACAAGCCAAAATAAGGAGTCTTCTTCATGACTGATGTTTGAAATCTAGCAGTAAAGGCAGTAATCTGTTGTACCAACAGCCATGCCAGCACAGGCAAGCTGTCTACATCTAAAAGTGGCCCTAAGCAGGTGATGAGGACCAGCAAGATGACAAGCAACATACAAGCTTTGCTTTCACATCATCCCCAATATATTCTAAAGACTCAGGTGATGTCTCTGCATTCAGCTGAAAGTCTGAACTTCCCCTGTTTAAGTTTAAACCCAAGTCTTTCACCAGTGTTCCAGGGTATCAATAAAACTGAAAGACAGAAGCTTACATGCTGACTTTTCAGAACCTGGATGGAAGAAGGATCAAGAATCCTTGACCTGCAGCGAGGCTGAGCAATTACTATCAACTCTGGAATAAAAGGCCTCTAAAACCAAACTATAAAAAGCAACCAACCTTTGACTAGGGGGGAAATGGTGATCTCACTATCTGCCAAATTCACATACACATCGTAGAGGTCTGGTCTGCTGTTCACTTCAGAATCTGTGAATCCAGCAATGTAACCTAGGGAGCAGAATTTTGGCAAGATTAGGATCTTCACGAACAAAACCAAAACACTGCAGAAAAACACAGTCCTAATGTCTGTTCTGAGAATATCTGACATGACACACATTGGACCCAGGAGGTTGCTCTCTTCACATTATCAAGCATTTAACAAGCATGTCCAGCAGAAGCTTAAAAATCAGCTTCTGAGATTGCCTTGAACTAACACTAATTGCAGTATCAAAAGGTTATTGATTTGACATTTTAAATTCTCTCCCTACCCTGCTACTAAAATTATTCATTTGGAAATGAAAAAGTCACTGAAGTTCCTCTTTAAAAGAATCTGAATTCTGGAGCTCCTTGTCACTAAGTCAGTATTAGACTGGAACAGAGGAATAAACCCAGCAGATCTTATTTATAGCATGCCAGGGGAGCAAACTTAGAGCAGCTTTTCTCTGTGGAAGATATTCTGAGAACTGAAACAAGCACTCTTGGTAATGCAGCAGAAACGCTGAAGAGGAGTAGTCTTCTTGCTCATTACTCTGTGTAGGGAAGCCGCTTAATTATCACATTATGTGCTAATCTTTGCATACACCAAAGGCCTCTTCCTGGATTATATGTTAAGTACTATGCACACACAGCATCATGTCACACAGATCAAACTCCTACAGAGATGGTCAAGTCTACCTGTGAGCAGGAGCCAGACAATTCACTGGCAGCAATCAGAATAAAAATACAGAAGTTAAAGAGTTAGAAACTGGGGAAAAAAAAAGAAAAGAGGAAAAAACCTAAAATTCAGTTACTGGCTCTGTGTAGAAGCTGGGTACTAAAGTACCTTATTTAAAGTGAGCTGGTTCTGTCCAGCAGTGAGACATTCAATCCCTCTGATCTCAACATCAGAAAAGTCTCAAAGCTGCTTTGCACCTGTGATTAGGAGTGGACCGATGCAGATCCAACATGAAACACCAGATTAACTCCTCATCTTCTAACAGACCTGGTTAGTCCATTTGCCTTTTCTAAAGAAAGTGATGCTGTTTAACTTGGAACAATAGCATTAGCAGCAAAATAACTGTATTTCTCCACCCAAGGAGCACTGGTGCAAGAACTTGCAGAAATAGAAACTGAATTAAGTTTTATTTTTTGATGAATAAATTCTCCCTACCTGTGCAGGCTTTTAAGGCTTCCACTTCCTCCTCATTTAGATGTACATATGAATGAAGAATTGACCAGTCTTGCCGATGCCACACTAAAGCGGGCAAAGTCCTGGGGAAATTAGGTTGACACTTGACAAACTTATATGAATTATAGTTTCATAATATTAAATGCATAAGGAAGAACTAGTCTGGCTAGGTCTCATTTGGCATGCAGATACATGAATTAAAGAGATTTGTACTATCAGTGCAAGCAGAGCTTATTGCTCATTCTACAGTTAAACTTCTCTGACAAAAACATGACTAAATGCTTAAGAGGAATGTATCAGGATTCCAATAAACAGGTTTAAGAAAGCTTTTCTCCTTAAAATATGGGCATTTCTCTCAAAGAAGGTTCAAATATGTTGGACTTTTGAGGGTGGGTAGGGACAGATAAAGTACCTGGTAAACTCCTGAATAGCTTCTATTCTAGGATGGTACACTACAATTCTCTTCTTTAACATCAGTGCTGTATACAAGATAACTGTTTCCATTCCAAACTGAGATACTATATCTAGAAAAAAGGGAAAAATATTTTACAGAAGACACACATGCTGATGTTAGCATTTGTTTTTTTGAAGAAGCTTAATGACAACAGCATGGATAATACTGTTAACACTGTTTACTTGAAATGCACATGAAAACTGGACTGTATTTCATATTGTACAAAAGAAATCAGAAGAGAGACTTTGGGTATTAAATAACCTTTGATGGAACCAGCAAGATAAGCCTTCCGAGCATCAAAATCCTTGCTGAGGAAAGATCCATTTTCTTCACTTTGGCAGATGCCCTTTGTAAGGACTGCAATATAACTCTCCATCATCTTAACTGGACTTCCGTGCTTCAGGTAGATTCTGTGTGAAAAGAAGAGAGTCCAGAGTTCTGATTACAATCAGTACCAGCAGATATATGAACACAAAAATCAAACCACAATATCACAAATAGCAATGTTATTGCCAAGAATTCTTACTCTGGACACCTGTTGAGATTTTAAATACTAAGCTAGCAGTCTTACAACATGCACCCAAACCATGTCTGTGTTTTAGGATAAAAAACTTCCCTGTATTTTCATTTGAGCTTCTATTTGAGGAAAGGATCAACAATTTACCAACACAGAAACAGAACAAAGGAGTAAGCAGGTGTCCAGACTAAGGATTCTTTGCAGACTTGGAAAGTACCTGCTTTATGTAAAAGCAACTACTACACCTACCCTATTATTCTATGCACCCCATGTCACCAGGTAAGTTTTGTATTCTTTACCCATTTTTATCATTAGACATTCTTCTGTACTCTTTGTTAAATGACCAAAGAAAAATATAAACATGTCCTTGATACCAATTTAAAATAAAACAAAACCAACACAAAACAACCACACACCAATACACCCCCACGTGCTTTTAGCTGTCTTACAGACAGCAGAGAGACAATATAACCTATTTTACATGTTAAGGTACTTCAGAAGCAGCACTGAAGCTCTCAACTACATATTTTCCTTATAAGCTTTAACACAAAGCTGTGTCACATTTGAAACTCAGTTATGTTTAGAGGATTCCATCCTGGATTTGGAAAGAAGTACTAGCTGATAGATCAGCATTAATGTGATCCACAATGAATGCAAGTATTTCATGTGTCAGTGAAAACCAACAACCTCAGTTTTTCATTACTCTACAGAACTGGTAAGCCTGACAGCATACCAAGTACATACAATAACCTTACAACTGCATCTAATTAATTGCAGTATCTCAGGGAACACTCTCAGTATCAACAGCCAGGACCCAACTAGCTTGGGAACTGAAGGAAAAGCAAAGAAAGATGCAGATAAAAGATCATGAGAATGGGGACATGGAGGAAAGTGAGGAGAGAAGGGAAGAAGACAGCAGTCTGGTTGGAAGAGGAAGGAAGACACAAGCCACAGACCTCGAGGTGCAGACGGTTCTCATTTTCCTACAGAAAAAGCAAAAGCATCCCCAGATGCAGTGGAGGTCGGAGGAGCTACAAGAAATATCCTTAGTAAAGATGTTATGAACAGATGTAAGCTGCCAACCTCTGACTACACAGTGACTTCTTCCCAAATGTTTATACTTGGTAAAAGTATGCTCTCAGAGAAAACTAATAGGTGGGTGGTGGTGTATGTCTGCAGAAGACACGTTAAAGCCTACTGGGCATCTGACATTCACCCAATGCTTACTGCATGAACCCAAGTTAAGCTCAGATCAAGGATTTATAGAACGGGATCCAGAGTTTATAGGACTGAGTTTCCAGCAGATTGTTAGACGAAATGCAAACCCAACACAATGCAACTGAATCTTTTGCTTTAGTAATAGCTCAACATGCACACAGCAGTATCCCACAACAGCTTTTATACAGACCTACAAAGTATCCTAGTGAAGGCTGCATATTTCTCTGGATTGAAGTCTTTGGCCATCAGAACAATGGAGAAGTGGGTCACCTGGGTGAGAAACACACACAGGAAAACACAGGGTATATTTAATGACCCCACATGAGCATCTTTTTCACATTATTGAGCTTACCACAGTACTCTGCCAGGGTGTTTCAATTAAAACCCAAAAGTGAGCAGTAGCAGCAGATCCAAGTCACTAACTGCAGAAAAGGTCTGGTTAAGGGATTTCTGATGTGACTCATTTCCACTGAGTCAGCTCTAGTACATACTATCTTTTGCTTAATCTGCTGTCTAAGAGTTGTGTTTCTTTAATCTCATAAGATTTATTTTGAAGAGAGACATTTCTCTTCCCCACAGCAAGTAGGAATCTTCCTGAATTTGTTGCCAAAGAAGGCTATGGAGGAAGACAGCATCAATACGTTTAGAAAGAGACTGGAAAAAAAGCAACCATGGATTGCAGGCCCACGAACAGAAATACTCTTAAACTTCCTTAATCCACTGATTGTGGGCAGGCACAATGTAAGGCTAAAAGTGTGCACGCAATGACCAGGCTCACATGTCTAACTCAAATAGCATCTCCCACTGTTGGAGACAGCACTCGGGCACATCGTGTTATTAATTTTTTTTACATCTTTAAGGTTCATAGGAGAAAGGCAAGCAACGTTCTGCTGTGGGCAAGCAAAATTACCACATTATCCTCCTATTAAACAATACAGCAATGAAGTATGAGCCTTGAATAAGTCTAACAGAATTTAATGATCTTCGTAACAGGGAAGTATAGAAGATAAAAGCATATTTGTAGTCTTCCAGTTATCAATGCAGTGGCAAAGAAAGTACCTATGGAACTCAACCTTTTAAATAAAAAAAACATCAAGTCTTGTACAAACAAGATTTTTGGACAGTATGGAAGACCTTTTGTGGAAGATTTTTTGTTGGGTTTGGGTTTTTTTCTGAAAAAAAAAAACAACCAACAAACGTAAATGCTGAACTTGAAAAGCACAGTAATTAGAAACAACAGCATTACCATTTTAACGCAGAGAATCTATACTGGGTAATGAGTATCTCAATCCCTCTGCAATTCCATCCAGTATATGACTGGGTGAAAACTGAGACAAGTGGACTAGTTAGCTGGGTAAAAGCTGCATTCGTGAGCACACAAAACCTCAAATACCTTCCCTTCCTCACAGCATACAACAGGAAACACTGTTTAAACTGCCAGAGGAAGCTCTGCAGAAGCCTTCCCTGCATTCTACTGAAAAACCAGCTGGCCAAGTCCTACCTTTTTCAAGGCTGGAGAATCTTGAACTTCCACAGTTGTGATGTAGAACCACGACCTTTTATACTGGCCAAATACAAAGGTATGAAGCAATTTGTTTTCATCTGTAAGGCAGCACTTGCGCAGCAACAGACTCCTCAGTTCAGCTGTTACGGACGGATAACACCAAACCCACAAAGCATCTCCGTTGGTGTCTTTTTCTATGGTGGAAAGATGTTCACTGTGAGAATGCCAAACAGCAGCAAGGAAGTAAATCGATGGGTTAATCAGGTTTGTTTCCTGGAATTCGATTAAAATTCCACCTTACCCTGACCCTAGATATCCAGTTCTGCCACTATGGTTCAAACTGCAGAGCAGCGCTTGTGCTACGAGTTTTAAGTGTTAATAAACATCCCCTTTTGACCTGCTTGACCAGGTCAAGTAAGCACCAGCAGTGTGAATAGGCATCCCTATGAGCAAGGTATTGACCAGCAAGCACCCAGACCAGCCTATTTATGATTTCTCCCCCTTTTCCTGTTTCTGATTTCACACAGAAACCCCAGAAGCCGTGAATTTAAGGCACTTTGCCTGAGTTGTGCACGGTTTAGCTCTGTAACAGCCAGACCGAACCCCCACCCCTTGGCACAACCTCAGGCTGACAGCGCCCGGCCGGGACAGGCCCTGCTCGCCGGGTCACCACTAACCAGCACCCCCCGCCGACCCGTGGCCCTGGGCCGGCCCTCCCGGCAGCCCCCCCACCCCAACGCGGCCCCGGCCCGGGCGGGCCCTCACCGATCAGCCCCACGGCCAGCAGCAGCTGCGGCTCCGGCTCTGCCATCTTCCCACCCGGCCCCGCCGCCTTCCGCCCTCCGCAGGCCCCGCCTCGCCCCACCCCGCCCCGCCCGCCGCGCGTCCCCTCAGCGCCTGCCGCCATTTCTGAGCCCCCCCCCCTCCCAAGCGAGAGTGGTGACACTGCTTGTGAGGAATCTGATCCGAAAGGAGAGGGTCTGAGGGTAATTGCTTCCCTAAGTCACGGCCAGAAGTCACGTAGCCCTAAAGAAGGGCCGCAGTCACAGAACCGTAGAATCCCAGACTGGTTTGGGTTGGAAAGGACCTCATAGCTCATACAGTTCCAGCCCCTTGCCACAGGCAGGGACACCTTCCACTAGAGCAGCTTGCTCCAAGCCCCTGTGTCCAACCTGGCCTTGAACACTGCCAGGGATGGGGCAGCCACAGCTTCTCTGGGCACCCTGTGCCAGCGCCTCAGCACCCTCACAGGGAAGAGCTTCTGCCTAAGAGCTCATCTCAGTCTCCCCTCGGGCAGGTTCAAGCCATTCCCCTTGGCCTGTCCCTACAGGCCCTTGTCCCAAGCCCCTCTCCAGGTTTCCTGCAGCCCCTTTAGGCCCTGGAGCTGCTCTAAGGTCTCCCCTTCAGGAGCCTTCTCTTCTCCAGGCTGCCCCAGCCCAGCTCTCTCAGCCTGGCTCCAGAGCAGAGCTGCTCCAGCCCTCACAGCATCTCCGTGGCCTCCTCTGGCCTTGCTCCAAAGCTCCACGTCCCTCTTGTGCTGCTGCCCCAGAGCTGGATCAGGGCTGCAGGGGGGGGTCTCCCAAGAGCACAGCAGAGGAGCAGGATCCCCTCCCTCGACTGCTGCTCATGCACCTTCTGATGCAGCCCAGCACAATGCCAGGTCACGCTGTGCTTCTCATCAACCCATACCAGCAAGACCTTTTCCCCAGGGCTGCTCTCAATCCAGTTTCCACCCAAATACAGGCGTAATGCACATAAAGACTGGTTTGTCTGTGAAAGCCAGCCCAAGTAAGGTGGGGAACATTCATAGAGCACAATGGCAATTCCTGTGTAACTGCACATCAAGTTTATTTGCGAATTAGCCCATCTTATTTTCAAGTCTGGATGAACCTGAATACCCCATACGGCAGCCATAGCATGCTAATGGTCCAGAGCAGACACTGATGAGGAAGAATAAACTCCGAATTACCTGGGATAACTACAGGAACATCAGAAGTGTCTAAAGAAAATGTGGAGTTCTGGAGATAGGCCAGTCCTGTCAAGGATCACACCTGGATGGGGAACACACTCAAGGGTATGATACAATTTTCATAAGGTTAAAACACACATATTCAATATACTTAGCTGCCTTGTGAAAAGAGACATGAGGAGTCAGACCATAAAAGCTGCTTCTGATAAAAAATCATCTTCATTGAAGCCTGGAAAGCTTTCAGGAACTTCAGAGAGATTCAAAACTGGAGTGAGCTCTCAAATGGCAAATGCTGCTGTAAACCAGCAGTAAATACTGGGCAGCAAACCTGTGGTTCCCTGCCGGAGACTGGGTGACCCCACTGCAGGGTATTGGGACAGGCACTGGCTTCAGTGACATGGCATGGGCAGCCTGCAGATGCTGTTAGGTGGTGTCTGGTACTCATCAGACAGACTTTTAAATTAACTTTATAAAGACTTGTTCAGCACTATAAATAGCTTAATGAGGTCTCTACTGACTGGACAGATGTGGTTTGAAACAGAACCAACCAGGCTGCCACAGACAGTTCAGAGTGCAGGCAGTACTCAAAATACCATAGTATAAATCAATATGTGGCCTGATGGTGGACACTGTGTGCAGTACCAGTCACTGGGCCCCAGAGGGGTACCAAAGGACACAAGGACATGCAAAAAATCCCAAGTGAAGAGAGCCTGAAAAAGCAAAATTGCTTCCCTCACCACCACGTTTTACTCTAGAATGGACGCTCATGCAATAGAGTGGAAAGGGATCAGTGTTACATGGATACCCTCATGGTGCTAAAGCTTCCATACAGTGACTGTGTCTTTGTTGTTCTTAGCTTTAACTATTTGGGTTTTAGCAATAAACTGTGAATCATAGAATACCAGGTTGGAAGGGTCCTCAAGGATCCTCTGGTATAACCTTTCTGGGCAAAGCATAGCCTAGACTGGACGTACCCTGTCCAGCTGAATCTTAAGAGTCCAACTCTGGGGAATCCATCACTTCCCTGGAGAGATTATTCCAACAGCTGATTATTTCCATTGTGAGAAACCTTCCTGTTGTGTCCCAGGAGTAACTTGTGCCCATTACCCCAGATGTAGATACCTGATTTTTGGTTGACCTGACTCTGTGGAATAACGATCATATATATTCTTGTTCAGGTGGCTCTAGCTGCAGATTACCCAAGTTATTTGGCTGGCCTTAATTACGTGGTCCTGTGATTACAAACCACCATTAAAGTTTTACATGTGTTGCATGATGGTTATGAAGCCTTCTGGTGGCCAAGCAAGATGGTTGATGTGAACTGGATACAAAAAGAAACCAAGTTACAAGAATAAAGAAAGAAATGCACCAAACCAGAAACTCCAAAGAGGGAGCAGGCAGTGTTAAGTAATCATGAATTCATCCTCTCCATCCAGCTTCATGTTTTTTGAAAACTCATACTTGGGATATATTTAAGGAACCAGCATCAGGCAGCCAGGTCTGCAGAGGGTCCCAGCTACGATCACCATGGCATCGATGATGCAGCTGCAGAGGTACACACCCCTGCCTCACGCGGCCTGCTGTGCGGGTGTTTACTCATCCAAAATAGCCCATTAGTCACCCAGTCACTTGCTGCTGTTGTACTGCGTTTGTTGCCACCATTACAGGAATTTGCACTTATGCACCTTCCATTCTCTCTCCATACACCAATAATCACATCAGTGGCTTTGAAAAATACACACTGGCCCTAATAGTTATCACATGTACACTCATTAATATTGCTATTACTATTGCTCTTAAGAGGAATGGCTGAGTTCCTCTCAGAGCTTCCCAGATTTTTCAGACTAATGAAACCTGCAGCTGACAGTGACCATGTGCACACAGAAGGGCCCTTCTGCAAGTTCTTAACTGCCTCACAGTACAATTTCTGAACCAGCTCAACAAGTTGTGAGGAGCAAAGACTCAGCCTACTTGATGACTAGCTCCCAAAATCCTAGAATGCTTTGGGTTGGAAGGGACCCTAAAGCTCATCTGTTTATAGCAGGGACACCTTCCATTAGAGCAGCTTGCTCCAAGCCCCTGTGTCCAACCTGGCCTTGAACACTGCCAGGGATGGGGCAGCCACAGCTTCTCTGGGCACCCTGTGCCAGCGCCTCAGCACCCTCACAGGGAAGAGCTTCTGCCTAAGAGCTCATCTCAGTCTCCCCTCTGGCAGGTTCAAGCCATTCCCCTTGGCCTGTCCCTACAGGCCCTTGTCCCAAGCCCCTCTTCAGGTTTCTTGTAGCCTCTTTACATACTGGAAGCTGCTGTAATCGTGAGCTGCTGGTCACGATTCTTTTGATGCTGCCCAGGACGCCGTTCGCTTTCGCACACTGCCCAGGAAGAAAACCCTCCTTCTGCATCGACTTAGAGTTAACCCGCAGCACGGGATGTCACCGCGGCACCAACCACGGAAACCAGCCACAGTACGGCTCTGCGCTAACGGCTCACCGAGCGCCCCGGTGCTCCGACCGACTCCGACTCAGTCCTCCAGTGCTGGACATTCCCCACCGCGCTTCCCCACGGCGGCCATTCCCGCCCCACGCTCCCCAGCCCCACCCGTGCACCGGGAGGGGTTTCCGCTTCCGCCGGCGTCAGTGCGCGCGGGCGCGGGGTTGCCCTCCCTTTCCGGCCTCGCAGGCTGCCTGGCTGGAGCACGGAGCGAGCCGCCGCCGCCGCCGCCCTGTGAGGAGAGGCCGCCGCCATCATGCCGGTGTACTTCCAGCGGCCCGAGAATGCCCTTAAGCGGGCGAACGGTCAGTGCAGGCCGCCCCCCACACCACCACCCTCCCGCCGGTTCGCTTCCCCCTCCACGCCGCGACGGGCAGCGTGCGCCGCTCCTCTGCCCACGGCCGGGCCGGGTCGGGTCGTACCCGCCCCCTAAGCCCTTCCGCCGGCCCCAAGGCCCGGCGCCTCTCTGACGCTGGGGAGAGGCCGCCTGCGAGCGGCGCCGCGCTTCCCTGCCGTGGGAAAAGGGCCGAGGCCTGCCGGCGTCGGCCGCACCGCATGGCGGAGGCGAGGCCCCGGCGGCCTCGGGGAGCGGGCCCGGCTCCGCCTCCCTCTCCCCGCCGGGGCCCCTGTGCCGCTCGCGGGGGCAGGCTCTGGGTGAAGGGGTGGTCGCGGCGGCGGGATCTGCGTGCCGAGGGCAGGACGGCCCGGACTCCGCGGCGCCTCAGCCTGCGTCCCGGCGGGAGCTCTCCGAACCGGGATGGGGCTCGCTGCTGGCCCGGGGCTTGGCATGAGGTGTCCGGCCCGCATCTCGCAGCCGATCCGGGGTCATTTCAAAACTGGGTCAGATCCCAAGCGGGATCTGCCTTCTGTGGACTTCGTGTTTAGGAGTACCAGCCTTCATGTGGCTCTGGTGAGAATGTAAATGATTAAACTCCTTAAACATTGCGCAGGCTGATGCGTAAGTTTGCCCAGGAATAGAATCCAGAGGACAGCGCTGTAGTTATCGCTCACAGACTGCCACATACAAAGCCGGACTGGATATATTTATCAGGTCTCTCAAGCTAAATATAAGGCTTTGACACTTTTTTTTTAGTAGTATCCTATTTTAAACACTTAGCAAAACCATTTAGACCCTCAATTGTCATGGGGCTGATTGCAGGATGACACTTGAACACATCCAGAAATTACAGATGATGTATATGAGTCTTGAAATGACATCTGAAGAGGCTCTGTAGTCTGGGGACTGTACATAATTCGAGTATGATTTATTGTAACTGAATTACTGCACATTTTTAGGATTTCTAGTCTAAAACTTACTGTAAAAATCATTCCACAAAGATAAGAAGACCAAAGATAAAATCAGCTTCAGTCAGCTTCCAAAGATGGAGTTGTATTTTAGCAGTCCTTTTACTGGGAACAATGCACATACAGTATATGAGCTTTATTAAGCTTACGAATTCTTGGATAGAGTAAGCTGTACTTGGTGAGCCAGTCACATTGCTAGAGCATGGCATTTTATTGTTGCTTTGCTGGTATTGGAGACTAGCTTTAAATTCACATCTCTGTTCTGACAAACTGAAGGGGTAGAGTAGAACTGAAGGATTGGAACTGAAAGGAGTGCTCTCTGGACAAACCTTATCAGTTCTCACTTGACAGTGTCAAGCCTTGCAAACCCACTCTCACCATGGCCAAGTATAATAAAGATGTGAGAAGTTGTACCTAAGGCAGATTGTATGTTGCAGGAAGCAGTTTAATGTTAAACAGACGTGTCAAATTGGAGCATTTGGCGTGTTTCCAGAGTTCCAGTGTTTGTGATTTATAGGTAAGGTTTAGGTGAGCATTTAGCAGCAATTTATGCTTCAGGTTCTCAGTGTCCTCAACGTACATAGCAGATATTTGGAAGTAAGAAGAGCTTGAATGATTGTAAATATGTAAAGATACATAAGAAAGGCTGGTTTTCCTTATAAATGGTAAATGTAGGTCAAAGCCAACCCTTAGAGGGCTGGAGCAGCTCTGCTTTGGAGCCAGGCTGAGAGAGCTGGGCTGGGTCAGCCTGGAGAAGAGAGAAGGCTCCTGAAGGGGAGACCTTAGAGCAGCTCCAGTGCCTAAAGGTGCTGCACGAAACCTGGAGAGGGGCTTGGGACAAGGGCCTGTAGGGACAGGCCAAGGGGAATGGCTTGAACCTGCCAGAGGGGAGACTGAGCTGAGCTCTTAGGCAGAAGCTCTTCCCTGTGAGGGTGCTGAGGCGCTGGCACAGGGTGCCCAGGGAAGCTGTGGCTGCCCCATCCCTGGCAGGGTTGAAGGCCAGGGTTGGACACAGGGGCTTGGAGCAAGCTGCTCTAGTGGAAGGGGTCCCTGCCCATGGCAGGGGTTGGAACTGGATGAGCTTTAAGGTCCCTTCCAACCCAAACCAGTCTGGGATTCTTAGTGTTAATATTTGGCATTGCTTTCTAGTCAAGGATGTAATGCAACTTTTTGGGAGTATTATTACAGATAAGAGCTTGCTGTCTTTCAGAGATACTGGATAATGACATCTTCACCTTCTGAAACAATGTAAATTTTCTCAGATAGAAAATATAGCTTAATTTGGTATTTTTGGGTAGCAGTAGGTGAGTTGTCAGTGTGTATTAGCTAGGTCTTGACCACTTGGAGTTTCAGTTGGTGTTTTGAATACCTGTTAGCATTTTAAGTGGTATAACAGAATGTAATCTTAATAACCATTCAGGACTAAGGCTTTGCATTTAGTCTGTTACAATCTTAGTTTCCATAACTTAAAGTTCCTACTGCGAGGCATGGTGTATTTGAGTCTTCAGGTTCACTTTTTATGTGCTTTTACTACAGTGTCTGTTAAATTAGCCTTCATTATGTGACTGACTTGTAAGAACTTGCTTACCCAGAGTTAATGAGAAGTTTCAGAGCAGTATGAGTGAATTTTGCGCTTTGTCCAGTTGTTATTGCCCACGGAGAGCTGTGGTTGGAGTAGCCTGGCCTGGCGCTGGCATTGGTGCAAGGTGAAACTTGCCTTTCAAGTTTCTTTTCAGAAGTAAAAAATGGTAAAGCTGATCAGTAATTGTCTTCAAAGCAGAAATAGAATAACAGTGTAAATTATGGGATGGAACATAACTTTATTGATATCACCTTGATGTGTAAAAAAAAAAATGCTGCTGAATACTTTAAACTGAATTAGATCTGAATGTAACACTTGTTTTCGTTGGAAAGGAACTTGCTCATCTTATGCAAACTCATTATTTACATAAACTCAGCTCCAAATACATACTGCTCTGATCCTGAAATGAAAACTGTGCTGCTGCTTTCAAAATACATATTTTAGCCATCTTTAGCCATGGCTAAAAGTGTATTTTGAAAGCAGCAGCATGGTTTCTGTACTGAGATTCCAAAGGTCAGAAGCTCTGTCTGATGTCCGAGCACCTTGAGCAGGCCCCTGCTTTAATCCCTGGTGCCATAATTTCTTTAGGAATGTAGTGATTTCCAGAGTACAGGGAGTTCTGACTCCACTCCTCCCCCTGTAAGAGCATACATATTTCCTTTTACCTGTACTTGACTTCTCTTTATCTTTTAAAGCTGTTTGCTTCCCATTCTGGGTGTTTCATTTGTTTAACTTCTTAAGGGTAGGTTCTGTGCAGTGCCTGTGTGTATACTGGTAGCTGGCTGTGCTGCTTTAGTATTTACTGGGTGAATGGTTTACTATATTGTACTGAGCAGAGCATGTGGTATTATCAGAGATGGAAGATGCTGTGGTGCTGAGAGATGCTGTTGGTAAGAGCAGGGGCTTAGGGAATGAGTAAATGGGGCACTGCTTTCAGCAGCAGGGTTTTAAAAGATGTCCGACTCTTTAATTGGCCTGTAATAGCTTTTAGTAGAACTGCTCTAGAAACTGAATCTCGAAACCACTCTCATGGTCTAGAGATGGTTCTAAAATGAGGAAAAAAATTGAACAAGGTTTCTGAGTGAAGTTTGTTTCCTTATTTTTCCTCCTTTTTTTCCTCCTGGGCATGACTTTTTTTTAAAGCCATTCACTGGGTAGTTTGCATCTTGTTGAATGATATTGGTGTGTCCTGTACTACAAGCCTCATGGTGTGTCTTCCTTGTCCTTCTTGATGTAACTAGCTTGAAAACTGGATGTGTGTACTTTATTAATACATATGAAGTGCGCAATCACACCTCGGTGGATGGAGACATCTCTGCTGTCCTGAAATCTTCATGTTAATGGCATTCATTTGCCATTTATGTCATTGAAAGTCACTGTAGTTGCCTTTGCCACCAGTTTTGTTATGGGCAAATAAATCAAACCATCAATGAACTTTGATTAGAGTTGATTAAATTCTTTGAAGTTTACACTGTTGAGCATAACATGCATCTTTTGGTTTGCAAATCTTTTACTAACTGGTTTTTACTTCCAGAATTCCTTGAGGTTGGCAAAAAGCAACCTGCCCTTGATGTTCTCTATGATGTTATGAAAAGCAAAAAACACCGAACATGGCAGAAAATCCACGAGCCGATTATGCTGAAATACCTGGAGCTCTGTGTGGATCTCCGCAAGAGCCACCTGGCAAAAGAAGGTCTCTACCAGTACAAGAATATTTGCCAGCAGGTATGGCTTCTATTTATTTATGATTGTATTTGTAGCAAGCATGGTATATGTCAGCTGATAGGAACTAAAAGTAACTGACTGGTTTTGAGTTAGAGCTAACCTGCCTTACAGATGTTCCTGGGTTTGCAGCATTTACGTTTTAAAACTTGCTGCCTGTTGTGGGTGCCAACATCTTCCCATTTTCTGCCTTTGACGTAGGTGAACATCAAATCTTTGGAGGATGTTGTTCGAGCCTATTTAAAATTAGCTGAAGAAAAAACAGAAGCAGCTAAGGAAGAATCCCAGCAGATGGTACTGGACATAGAAGACTTAGATAACATTCAGACTCCAGAAAGGTAGGCGGCCTGTCTTCAAAATGTAGCAATTCACAGGAAAGCGTCCTTATTTTCATGAAGGGTGTTGGCAGTTCAGAGATATAAAGATGGTGGATTTGAAATGCTGTACAAGTGGTGTTCCAGAGGTTCTAAAGGTAGGAAAGCAAGGAATTTTGCATTGAACAAAATCCCACGTGTGAATAAAAAGTAAAGAAATTAAGGTTTAAGAACAGAAAATGTAAATACAGTAGGAGCAGTTCTGGCTTTCTGAGGTCTGATCAGATCTCCCATCTGTAGTGGTATTGGAGAGTTTGTTGCTGAAAGCTGCTCATTACCAATTTGGGTATAAATGCTATTAATTACATTAGACCAATTGAATTCCTCTATGTAGTAACCTCCAGTCTTTCTGACCACATAGAATATGTGCAAACAAAAGGGAATGTTTCTTTATACTTGTTTGGGTAACTGATAATGGAAGAAAGGGCATTAAAAGTAAATTCAGGGTTCTAATTAATTGGGTGGATAATGAGAACATAGAAAGTAAGGAAAAAAGGATCAGTGAGTATATCTGCTTTAGGCTGTGTATAGACCTTCATTGGCATGTGGTGCCACGATAGGATAAAACTAGTTTCCAGCTCTTCGAGAAGACACTAGTCTATTGTCAGAATGTTGTGTGGGAGAACTTCATAATCTGCTTCAGGCAAAGTGAGTTTAGTTCCAATTGTATGTTCGCGTCTTCAGATGAATCCATTGATTTAGGAAATGCTCACATTAACTCCAGTAGTGCAGGTATGTATGTGGTTATATCTGTGGAAGCGGGTGACAAGGTGGGGATGAAGAAATGTTTTAAAGCACTCCAGATGTGTTTGGGAGATGCCATCTGCCCATATCCTTTAAGAGAAATTAGAAAGTGTAGGGAATAAATTAAAATTTCCTTAAGTCAACCCAAATTAAAGCTTGCAGAAAAAATAGCAAAGGGATCTTCAGCCATAATGGGAGAAATCCAGGGAAAATCGTGGTAAAATTCTAAGGAGAAGGGTTGAGATTAGCTACCTAGGTATGCTCTGAAGATGAAAGCAGTATTTTGCTACTGATTTTTGTAAGGCTGTTGATTCTGGAATAAAGAGATAGGGTACTTTCCATGCTCTAAAAACTTGAGGTGAATGAAAAAGTCAGCTTTCTCCTCATGTTGGATAACAGCATCATTTCTATCCTGCAGTTTTAAAAATACCATCAGATACTTTGGATACTAAAGCTTTGTAGACACCCATTTGAGCAGGCAGCTTATTTTCTCATCATCCATATGTAGGACTGAGTAGTGGTCTGAACAGTTGCTGACGTGTTCTTACCTAGATTGTGATAACGTTCAGGTCTTTAGGATGAGTTTTGAAGGAAGGAAGTAGTACATGCAGTTAAAAATCAGATCATGTTCAGCACAGGCTTGCCAAAGGGTAGGTGACATCTGATTGTGTTAGAATTTTAGTTGGTAATTTAATGTTTTACAGTCAAGAAATGCGAAAGGTCGGAAATCCAACCTGGGAAAAGGTAAAGCTATTGGTACCATATCAGAAGGGGTGTTTGCAGTTGTATTGTAAGGGGACTAAAACATTGCCCAGTATGAAACTGGTGACATGTAATGATGACAGAAGACGGGAATCAAGAGTGAAGTTAGGGAGAATTCTTTCAATTAAAATCTTGGCACAGAAACTGAAAAAGCCAAAGTTGTATCTAGTGATGATGGCAAATTGGAAGAAATTGTCAAAAGTAGAGGACATTTAGTCTTGTGTAGGCGACTATGAGGAACAGAGTTATATTAGTCAAGTAGCATGCAGAAAGGCATGGAGTAGAAGGCTGCGGATTGTCATGTGGCTCTGGTAGGAGTTGGGAACTCATTGACTGTGAAGAAAGGAACATGTTACAGACCTTTTCTTCAGCCTTCAACAGTTGCCTCAGGATGGCAGTGCCAGTAATCTTATTTCCGGTGCCTGGGCAGTCTTTGTTACAGAGGAATCCTACCGATAGACATTGAACATTGACTGACCTCTCTTTTCCTTGTTCTCTTTTATATAACTGAGGACTAGAAAATGTGTCTTTCCGGTCACACTTCTTTATCTGAACAACCACAGTTTCTGTAGTGATTTTTAGGTCCTGTGTTCTACACTTGTACTTTTTTGCTGGATTCACTTCTTGATCTGTTGGAGAAGGCACTGGTGAAATACATTTTTCATATCGTATGTAGTGCTACTGCTCAAGGAAGTAAATTAGAACTAGAAGCAGTGTGGTAGAAGAGAGTTACAGGAGTTGAGAGTTTATATTAGAAGCATAGTTCAAAAAGGATTTTACGAATGAAGGGAAGATGATTCATTTTAAGCTTGTCGTGCTGGGTGGTCTGGTTTTGTCTCAGTGACTCAGGAATCCTTTCCAATCTTGTATTTCTGTGAATGAGGGACTGCAGTTGTGGCCACTAAATGCAAGATACCACATCTTCTGGCATCTTTAAGCATCTTTTTCATGTCAGAGTTTTTAAAGGATTTGATGCTTTAATGCAGGTATTCTAGGTTTTGATGTCTGCAGGTTGTAAGGCACACAATGTTTTTATGTCATATGTCAACAAGAAATGAACTCTCTCTGGCAGCATTGCTGGTGACAGAAAGGAAGCTTCAGCAAGTGGGAAGGTGTCTGAGTAGACAGACACTTCAAGTGATACTTGAATCTAAAAGACGTACAGTGAAAATCCTGGAGTTAGTTTCCTTCAGCTTTTAAGTGAGGGATACAAAAGCCCCTGATGTCCCTTACCTCTGGAGCTTGTACATGGCAGTCATACATGCAGGTGCCAAAGTTTAAAACTTATTAGCAAGAAAAATTACATGCTTTAAAGGAAAAGGGAGAAGTCTGAGGGACCAATTTAAAAATAGACTCTGCAGCAAAATTAGCTGTTCATATTTGTCCAGTCTGACCTTGGATCTTGATAAGAGAAGTTGGTGAGGATTGTGGAGAATAAGCCACTTATTTTTCTTTGTGTTTTTCCCCCCTCTTTACCTCCTTGCCTCAACTGTAGCGTTCTTTTGAGTGCTGTGAGTGGAGAAGACACTCAGGATCGCACTGACCGCCTGCTTTTGACACCCTGGGTTAAATTTCTATGGGAATCGTACAGACAATGTTTGGATCTTCTCAGAAATAATTCTCGAGTGGAACGCCTTTACCATGATATTGCGCAGCAAGGTAAGTCACAAGATGGAAACGTTAAGTATAATGAGGTCAAGAACTTCTGTGTTTCATCCTGTAAAGCTAGAAAATGAATGGTTATTTCTATTTGGATATTGGAGATAGGTTAACCTCTCAAGTCTGTGTAGGTACACACATATTACTCTTAAAATTACATAGGTTCCTAAGATCACTCAGGTTTCTGGACACTTTTGTAACAGAAATTGTGAGGAAAGTTGTTTTTTTTCCAGGACATACTGAGAATTTGGGAATTACTGGTCCTGTGTCTTCATTTTTTCTAACTTACTGACCAAAATTAGTCATGTTTTCACTTTATCCAGAATAGCAAATGTGTCTTCCATTAATGTGTTCTGTGTCAGGTACCTTCCAAAATGAGCGCAAACAAAAGGGTACTTTTGTGTAAAATCATGATGCACTTGCACTTTTAATTTTGACACAGGTGTAACTTAGGAAAATACTATGGAAAAGGTAATAGGACAAAATCTTGTGTGATTTTTATCTGGCATTCTGTAAAAAGTGACTTTAGAAGAATGGATACTTATATGTTCATCTCTCCTAAAAGGTGAGAGATGAGCAGAAAAATGTTTTCTTTTGTATGTATAACTTGTGGCTCTGTATCTTTGAAAAAGAGTCTTAGATTTTTAACCCTGGATCCATATTTTGCAAGTACATTAGGAAGGATGACTGTGAGATGGGTTCTGGGTGCTTTAGTGTATTGAAGTCTTTGTGCTGCAATGTCAAGACTTCCTTTTTGTGCCTGTTTCTGGTAGCAATACCTTAGAATATTCAGAGGGAGAATGGCAAAGTGAAAACAGATTTTTGAGAGGAGCTAACAGGAACAAAGACAATTTTGGTTTTCCTGTGTCATTTCCAGTCATTTGAAAGCTTAATTCATCTTTAAATGATTTGAGAATTGTTTTCCCTATATTTTACAAAGCCAAAACCTGAATTCATGCCATTCACAGAGTTTCATTTGCACTTAGTTCAAAATAGAAGCTGGAATCCCTGCTTAAAACAGAACATTTTAAAAAAACTCAAAGTATTCCCTTTACTCGATCAGGTTAATTATGTGGAAACATCTTAATTTTTCCAGGTGAAACTGGAAGTGCTCTGTATTGTCACTAACTCATCATGTGTGACAGATTGCATCTTCTTTTATACGTTTTTGAGTTGTAAATGAAAATTGTTCAAATGTACTGCTTTACATACTTGAATCCCATTCAGAACTACTACAGAGTCACCACTTAAGGTCCTTTCTAACCCCAACCATTCTATGATTACTGAGCATGCTTCCTTTATCTTGTTCGTTTTGCAGCTTTCAAGTTCTGCCTGCAGTACACACGCAAAGCTGAGTTCCGTAAACTCTGCGATAACCTGCGGATGCACCTGGGGCAGATCCAGCGTCATCACAACCAAAGCACAGCAATCAACCTCAACAACCCTGACAGCCAGTCCATGCACCTGGAGACCAGGCTGGTGCAGCTTGACAGTGCTATCAGCATGGAGCTGTGGCAGGTATGCAGCAGGGCTCCTGAAATCACGCTCTAGACTACAACCTTTCCAGAATCTGTTCCACGCAGATCATATTTCATGGTATATACTCCAAGGTAAAGACAGAATAAAAGCTAAAGACTAATGTTTTAGTATCTAGAATGTGGTACTACATGCATATTGAATACGTAGTCTGATGTACTTGGAGTACTGTGAGCAGTTCTGGTGTCCTCAGCGTAAGGAGGACATGGAGCTGTTGGAGCAAGTCCAGAGGAGGCCATGAGGATGATCACACAGCTGGAGCACCTCCTGTGTGAAGACAGTCTGAGAAGGTTGGGGCTGGAAGAGAGAAGCTGCATGGATACCTTATAGCAGCCTTCCAGTGTCTGAAAGGGGCCCACAAGGATGCTGGATAGGAACTCTTCATTAGGGACTGTAGTGATAGGACAAGAGGTGATGGGTTCAAACTGAAACAGGGGAAGTTCAGGTTAGATATAAGGAAGAAGTTATTTACTGAGAGGGTGGTGAAGCCCTGGAACAGGTTGCTGAGAGAGGTGGTAAAAATGCTCCATCCCTGGCAGTGTTCAAGGCCAGGCTGGACAGAGCCTTGGGTAACGCGGTCTAGTGTGAGGCATCCATGCCCATGGCAGGAGATTGGAACTAGGTGATCTTAAGGTCCTTTCCAACCCAGACCATTCCATGATTCTGTGTTCCTGCACAGCATTTCAGACCAAGCTTCTGCTGGTAGTAGTAAATGGTAAAGTATCTGAAGTTACTTTGAGTTGTGAAAGTGAGAAGTTGGTGATGACACCTTCACCTCTTGCCATTCTGCATTCTTGCAGCCTACATCACTGGGAGGTGATTGGTACACATTAATGTCTGCTACTGGCCTGGGGCCCCAGCATTGCTGCTGCCTTATATTACTGTCCAGCCAGGGAGAGCATTATCAAAGCAAATTATTCCAAGGTGCTTTGCTTTACCAGCCTTTCTAATGAGAAATTCCTTAAAAAGCCAAAGGTTGTCTCTTCTGGGGGGGTTTGTGAATTTGAGAAATGTTCTCTGTTGTCTTGTTTCCAGATGAGGTATGCAAGTAATTACATGTGAGGCATTTCCAAGTATGTCTGTATTCTTAGGGAAACTATATCCATGTTTGATCACAGAAGTGATTTTTATGAAAAACCATAAAACCACTAAAATGTGTATTTTCCCCATTTTTGGGTGTTGCAAACAGCTTCCTTAAAGTATGTATTTGTTGTTTGGTTTTTTACTTAGGAAGCTTTCAAAGCAGTGGAGGATATTCATGGGCTGTTTGCGCTGTCTAAGAAACCACCCAAACCACAACTGATGGCAAATTACTATCACAAAGTTTCAACTGTCTTCTGGAAATCAGGAAATGCTCTTTTCCATGCGTCCACACTTCACCGACTTTACCACTTATCAAGGGAAATGCGAAAGAATCTCACACAAGAGGAGATGCAGAGGTGGGGAAAGAGAGTTCGTGTGATCTTACTTTCTATTTTTAGCCACGTAAGTTCAAAGATAAACTAAATTGCACCCCAGAAGAAGGTGTTGACATGTATTGCTGTGAGCAGCTCTGCTTAAAGTGGCCAGTACTAATTGCCTCTAAAGAACCCTGGAGCAAGAAGGACATTTAACAGAGCTGTGAGGGTGCTGAGGCGCTGGCACAGGGTGCCCAGAGAAGCTGTGGCTGCCCCATTCCTGGCAGTGTTCAAGGCCAGGTTGGATGGGGCTTGGAGCAACCTGCTCTACTGCAAGGTGTTCCTGCCTGTGGCAAGGGGTTGGAAGTGAATGAGTTTTAAGGTCCCTTCCATCTCTGAGATGAAAATGCACATCTGACTTGCACAGTAAATTGTAAAAATTGATGCAATTAATATGACTGATACGGATTTGCAGCTGAAATAAGTTTTTAAAGTTGCTGCTTTCTGAAGATTTAATTATGTAGTATTTTGATATATTTACAGTGGTGGCTTAAGTTTCTCTATAATTTCTGTGTATATACACACATATGTAAGTAATGAAAAGATGTTATCAAAATCTTCCCCCTGGTTGCTGAAGAAGACTGTATTCTGTACTCTTATCACACAGCCAGTGTCTTCTTTGTTAGTGCTGGTATTTTTACACAGTGCATCATGACTGCTACTCATTCCTTCTCTTGAGTTGGCACATCTGTGAAAAGGAATTAATGTTCTCTTGCAGCTCATCATTTGTGGTTATGCTTTGTCAACAGGATGTCTACTCGAGTCCTTTTGGCCACTTTGTCCATTCCTATCACTCCTGAGAGAACGGACATTGCCCGTCTTTTGGATATGGACGGGATCATCATGGAGAAACAGCGACGTCTGGCAACCCTCTTGGGTCTTCAGGCCCCCCCTACACGTGGTAGTCTCATAAATGATATGGTAGGTAGTGGTGTTGAGATGAGCAGCTTTGAACCACTGGTTCCTCTTCTTTTCCTTTTAGAGCCCTGCTTAGTTACGGGACAGCAGCTCGAGTTACAACAGCTCTATGGTTAACTGTGTGACTTAGGGCATAGTGCTAGCATTTCAGATTCACAAGAAGGACTGTTTGGAAATGGCAGCAATAACACAATGCTTGTGTGCACTAAGGAGTTGAATCCCTTATGTCACCCAAGCAACAAATGTTCCTTTGAGTGTCTGAGGGTTCTGAAAGGGCTGTGAGCTAGAACTTTGGGCTTTTTTCCCTAATCTAAGGTGTGTGATTAACTGAACCAAGTTTTAAATGTATCTTGGATAAGCACAGGTCAGATATTAAACATCAGACTGTAAGGGCTTAAGTGATTATGAAATCTTATGTTTAACTTAACATGAAGGGAGGCTGTATTTCTCCTCCTTCCAACCTTCATAAACAAAATCAGGCATTCAGTCACAGTCAGGTATCTTCAGAGGATGATGAATTTCTTGCAGTCATTTGCATGCACACCTGTAACTTACATTTAAGGTTCATTTTACAGTTTACATTAATTCTTCTTATATTTCTCCAGTTTGCCTTAAAACCAGAATTTAAAGCTTCAGAAGTTTCCTCATGAACTGAGATATGTGGGTTGAGTTTGGATGTGGGCCTACGTCTGTGTAGTAGGGCTGTGTCTTAGAAACAGCGAAGTTGAGGGTAGTACTCTGGTCTAAATATCTGTCTTGCTTATATGGTTTTTTGTCTACTTTTCCATTTTTAGCTATAGTTAAGTGGTGTAGTGTAGAGTTATTGCCACTGCCATTAAGGATGCTGTAATAAAAAAGAAGTTAAAAGGTACATGTAGTGTCTATTTAACTTCTTAAATTTAAAATTCTTAAAGTATAACTTGTTAAAATTGTATTTATTGAGATCTTTGCATTTTTTGTTGTTGTTGCCTGTAGGTAAGGTTCAACGTGGTTCAATATGTTGTTCCAGAAGTGAAAGAACTTTACAACTGGCTTGAAGTAGACTTCCACCCGCTCAAGTTATGCAGCCGTGTCAGCAAGGTAAGTTTTATAGCTCTGTGTATACAGTAATTGCTCTTGACTAACATTGATTTGTGGAGGAGGGTTGGTGGGAAGTGGAAAAATACACCAGTGACTGTTCTTACTATTAAAATGTAGATTATTGGGAGGTAGAATAATGTGATGTTGATGGCGCTAATGTAAATTCTGCAATTGCTGAAGCACATCACGTTCTTTTTCTTTGATAGTGGGAACAAAGAGACTTGAGGTGCTAAAAAGAACTTGAAGGTAAATTAGCAGCGTGGTAAATGTTGCCACTACTGTCAGTCGCCTTCATACAAAATATGTCAGGAATCCATTATAAAGTGTTCTGATCGAAAGATACACTGCAGAAAACAGTGTAGTAGCTGGACAGAGGTGCTGTTTTTTCATGAGCTGTAAAACTGCAAGTATTTAAGAACCACGCTTCTTAAACTTTAATGGTGAAGTTTGTAAGGGTTGATGCAGATAGAGTAACTTTTCAGAATTTTGATAGGTTCTGAACTGGGTGAAGGACCAAGCTGAGAAGGAACCTGAACTGCAGCTCTATGTGCCTCACCTGCAAAACAATACCATCCTCCGCCTTCTGCAGCAGGTACGAGTAAAGAAAACGTATGTTCTCGAGTATGCAGAAGTTAGAAAATGCCTTGGAAGAACATCAAGTTGGAAACTTCCATGCTGAAGTAAAAATTTTCCATCAAATAGAAACCCTTTGTGATTTTGAAATACCTTTTTTTGGGTATACGACCTGTGTCTTTGGGTTTGTACATCATTCAGATACAGCTGTAGTAGCTGTACTTAGTAGTGGTTGCATACAGTGCTGGAATATCTTGCCTAGATTTTCTTCATTATGGATCTCTGAGGTCTTATTTAAGGTAATCCATTATTTCTTCAGACTGTTTTTTGGAGTAAGCTCTGGGTGGGATATTTCAGTGGGGTTTTTGCATCTAGGTGTTGTATAAATGCACATTTCATTGACCTGCTTTCATTACAAGTGATGAGCAGTGTTATTTCTGGTGTGCTAAAGAACTAGTTGAAGGCTAATTAGCAGCATAGCTGTATGTAGCTACTGCTGCCAGTCTCCTTCATACAAAGAAGCCATTCAGAATGGCTTTGAATCTTAGCTTAAGTTTGACTACAGCACAGATACAAAATCCTGAAAGAATATTTACAGTTGTATTAATATGTATACAGTAATTTCTTGGCAATTTACTAAGCTTTATAGCTTATACAACAGCTCTTTATTTCTGATCTCTTTTTTACTGAAGGAAAACACCTAATACTTGTGTTCACATTCAGGTGGCCCAGATTTATCAAAGCATTGAATTTTCTCGCCTGGCCACCCTGGTTCCTTTTGTTGATGCTTTCCAGCTGGAACGCAATATTGTTGATGCAGCCAGACATTGTGACTTACAAGTAAGTTCTTCTGTGATTCATGTATATGAATCATATATGGATTCATGTGTGTTACACTGGATGAAAGCTATCTGGTTGACATTGAACCCAAGGAAGACAATTGGCTCTGAGAGATGGATATAAACTAGAGTAAAATGTGACAATATATTAAGAACTGATGATTATTTACATTTTGATGTCTGTTTTTGATTTAGGTCAACAACTGTTAATGTAAAGTCCAGTAGAAGTAAAAAGTTGAAATGAAATTTGCTGAAACTTGCCCTGTGAGCCCCAGTCATTGAATCCAGCATATCCTGAAGCAAGTCTAACAAATAGGGATGCAAATTTCTGGCTATGCTGCGTTAGTTGTGCAAGACTGAAGAGTTGAGCAGTTGCTAATGTGGTTTTTTATCTAACCAAGTGACTGAAGGAAGCCACCAGTGTCTGAAATGTGCACTGATGTCTGAGATGTTTCAGCTGCTGTTGAAGATTGCCTTGTTGGTAAAGTTGTGTGTATTGAAAGAGTGGCAGCCTGTAACGAAATGTTTAAGCTGGTGATGAGATACAAGTAGGTTTTAGTTGAGGTTCCTTAGTATTTATCCATTTAGGTTTTTAGATAAAGCGTAGTTAATTCATTTTGGTTAACACACAATTTTGGCTTATATTTTAGATGTGTTGATATTGTCTGTGTTAAAGTCAGAATTCTTGTTTGGTGTATTACTAATGTGGAGGAAGAGGAAAGAATTTGTCATGCAGTGCTCTCATTTGATAGAACTGTTGTTCAGCCTCTTCCAGTGATGCTTTTTGTTTGTGTGGGTTTTTTGTAAACACCATGGAAATCAAACAAACTTCTATTCAGAGTAATTTCTGCTTTGAGCATCTGTTGACTCATACTGCTCACAGGCAGAGCAACAGAGAAATTGTTTAATACAATCCTTCCTATTTTTTCCTCCAAAGGTTCGCCTTGATCATACCACCCGGACACTGAGTTTTGGCTCAGACCTGAATTACAGCACTAGAGAAGATGCTCCACTAGGCCCTCAACTACAAAGCATGCCTTCTGAGCAGATCAGGAATCAGTTGACTGCTATGTCCTCAGCTCTGGCTAAAGCTCTTGCAGTCATTAAGCCTCCTCACTTACTGGTAAGTCACTTTTAAGTCTTCTTGAAGTGGTGACAGGTTCTGACATTTCCCCCATGTGGGTTGTGTGATGTTTATCTGTTACCCTTATGGAGCCTTTTGCTTGTCTGACCAAGTGCTGCTTCCTGTAACCTGTTCTCAGTGCAGTGGTGATCAGTATTGCTATGCCTGTCCCCTCCCTTCAGAACAATTGATCCTGGAGGTGTTAATGTATACAAATGTAGTGTAACATGAATGTATTTAGTAATGACCAAGTATCTTCTGCATCTGTTACATAGTCATCTGGTCTAATAGACCTAAATTTTCTGGTTTAGCAAGACAACCTTTTGAAGTTGTGAGATCATAATTGAAGGAGTTACTAGTTTGGCTTTCCTTGACAGGAGAGGCAGTGAGCTATCTGATGATTAATTTAATGTGACATTGCAAGGCTCCGAGTAGGTACATTTTGGTATTTACTCAAATCCTTGTACATTTTGTGGATGGGTTATTTTCAGAAGTGTGTTGCTCTGTTTTTTGGAGCATTCTGGTAACAGTCTCTGATCTAATTGGACAATAATGTTGGGCTGCATTTCTATACTTGTGGAAATAAAAGTAGAAATGTAAGCTAGTTACTAAGCTTATATGGTAATGAACTTGTTATCTCAGATTTTAATTTCATTTTTTTCAGCTGTTTGTGCTTATGAAGAAGCAGTCATTCTTAAATGCACCCAATTAGTTAGTTTAAAATGTACACAAGAGTCTTGAATTTATATTGCCAGTGTTGAATATATGAGGTTTAGGATATACCAAATAGTAACTTACCCATAGATAGCCCTACAGAGGCAGGATTTGTTTAATGCACTTTTGAAAATCCAAGAGCCTGCTTTCTTTATTCTTCCTGGAGAAACTGCTGTTGTGAAGAACCTGGAATGTAACTTCATGGTGGAATCCAAAAACATGAACAAAAGATCCCACAACGCAAGACCTGATCTGTCCTTGTTCACTGCCTGTCCTCACTGGGGCTGGTGGCTTCAAGGTCGGACTCAGGGATGAGCTCACATTTCAGGTTCTCCAGAGCGCTGTAGGTGTAAAATCAGTCTCAGATTTCCAGCATGCTTTGGTTGTGGCAAGTTCAACCTTCACTTGTCTTTAAAGAGCGGTGGTAATTCCTTCTTTTGCTTTATGTTTGCGAAAGATTTAATAGAAAACATATACTTTTTCCATCTGGAAGGCTTATAGCAAGATGTCCATGTTAGATACTTTATAGGGGTTGCAACACTAAGTAACATTGTTAAGGTACAAGCACACAAGTAGGACTATATCATGACACCTGTATACACCTGATTAACACCTTTATAGTGTTTAAGATAAAAATACTTCCATGTAAGTTTTCCCCTAAAAAGATTTTATTAGTGATTGCTATTAGATTGTTGATGTGAAAGAAGAAACATGCTTCAGCTGTACATTCATAGGTAGAAATGACAAATGGTCTTATACTTCATATTAGTACAATTAGCTGAATAAAACTAAAGTGCTAGTAATTACAGTTGTAAGACAGGAGTACAGTATCAAGGTTAACATCAGTCTGTGTGGTTAGAGAAGCTACAGAATAAGTTGATAACTTTTTTCCTTGTTACTCAGGTCAAAACCTCACATTTTTCAGGTGCTTAAAACTTAAAAATCTGTCAGATTTGTTACGATTCACAAAGCCATTGCATTCATCTAAAGCTTCTGATTCTTTAGTTTCTGGCACCTCTGTTTATCTTTAAATGCTTTCAGATCTGCACTGAAGTACAAGTGTATCAGTGTTTTTGTTGAATGCTGTAGAAGTGACAGAGTACTAAAAATACCCTGGCGGTAGGTCACATTTCAGGAGCAGCATGACTGAGGAAGTTCAGTGAGCTGCTCAGGCTGCAGTGCTTTGCTGCTTGCTGGGGTGATTAAAATGGGCAGCTCCATGAGCTGGCACAGTTATACCTCTCCAGCCTGAATCTCTACACAGATCTGTATAGGTTCTCTGGAGGAGAATGGGGAGGTGGTGAGGAGGCTGCTTAAAGAACAGCCTCGTGTCTAGAAGTGTAGTGCTTTTTATAACTTAATTGGAAAGGGTTTATATACAACGTTTATATCTAAATTGTTGACTCATCTGTTCTTCATCATCTCACAGATAGTGCTTTGTGTCAGGATATTTTTCTCTTTATGTTAGCATGTTTGGAAAGAAAAAAACCTTTAAAAACAACGGAGCTTTGGTGTAATACAGTTTATGTGGGGCTCGACTTGCTGACACATGCAAAGACAAAATCAGTTGAGCTTCCCACCCCTTGTTCAGTTAGACTCTTAAATATTAGTAATAATATTACTAATTTTGGACAGAAGAAGGAGTGAAACTCGTAGCTCAGATGTGTTACAGAATATTGTCTTTTATAGACAACTTTCTTGTCAGTTGATACTACCTTGTGTGCCACTTGGATAAGTGATTATTTTCAGGTTAGATATAAGGAAGAAGTTCTTTACTGTGAGGGTGATGAGTCGCTGGCCCAGGGTGCTCAGGGAAGTGGTAAATGCTCCATCTCTGGCAGTGTTCAAGGCCAGGCTGGACAGAGCCCTGGGTGACATGGTTTAGGGTGAGGAGTCCCTGCCCATGCAGGGGGTTGGAACTAGATGATGTTAAAGTCCTCTCCAACCCAAACCATTCTATGATTCTATGATTAGATTGGCCATTGCAGCTTTATTTCCATGCAGTTGGCACATTTGGAGAATAAAACTAACTCTGAGGGTGTTTTGAGAAGCATTTGCTGTGCTTTGTGCATTTTAAAGAGATACTCTACACATCATTGTTTTATTCTTAATTTCATTTCAGCAAGAGAAGGAGGAGCAGCATCAGCTGGCAGTCACTGCCTTCTTAAAGAACTCAAGGAAAGAGCATCAGCGTATTCTTGCACGTCGCCAGACTATAGAGGAAAGAAAAGAGCGCCTGGAAAGCTTAAATATACAGCGTGAAAAGGAAGAACTGGAACAACGTGAGGCAGAGTTGCAGAAAGTGCGGAAGGCTGAAGAAGAGAGACTGCGCCAGGAGGCGAAGGAGAGGGAGAAGGAGCGTATCCTGCAGGAGCATGAGCAGATCAAAAAGAAGACTGTTCGGGAGCGCTTGGAGCAGATTAAAAAGACCGAACTGGGAGCCAAAGCATTTAAAGATATTGACATTGAGGTAGAAAACGTGATGTTTTATGATTTTATGCTTTTGGTGTTATATTGCCAGGCTGTTGGAATGTCATTTATGTAGTTTTAAACTGTAACTGCTCTTAGAAACAGTCTCTTAAAAATGAGAGTTTGACACTTAATGCTTGGACTTGATGATCTTAAAAGTCTTTTCCAACCCAAATGAGTCTAAGTAAATCTTACTTCTGAGTTTGGATGGGACCTTTTTTCCCTGGAGGAATTAAATCCAGCTATGTTTGGGCATTTATGTTTGGTTGGTTGAATGGTATAGAAATACAAACTAGGCCTGCAGATCCAGTTTTGTAGAAACTGGACTGTGTCTCAATTAGAAATAAAGATACAAATGCTGTAGAGTCTTTAAAATATAAAATACTCTTCCAGAAGAGAAACTGAGAATGTGTCTGAAGCAAATTAAAAGTTAAGGGTAGAACTGCAGAGAAGCTGAAATAAATGAAACAGCAAAACAGCAAAACCAGTTTGCTTTATTTTGCATTTGATAACTTTACTTGGTTGTAGGATCTTGAAGAACTGGATCCTGACTTCATTATGGCTAAACAAGTTGAACAGCTGGAGAAAGAAAAGAAGGAACTTCAGGAACGGCTGAAGAATCAGGAGAAAAAGGTACAAAGCACGAAGGGTACAAACCCATGGCTATACAATGCTTTAGTTAGTGTTTATGAACTCCTATGTGGAGATACAGATACCTAGATATAATACTGTTGTTGAAAATGTTACTTTTCCACACTAAAAAAGGTAAACATGTTATAAGGCAATTGGGTTTCTGGTATCAGTGCACAAATGTGTTCTAATGAACGGAGTTGATTTGAAAAAGGATTCTCGAGGTCTTTGTGAGCTGAGTCTTGGTTGGGAGACTTGTAATTGGAACATGCTGAAAGAAGTTGAGGCCATTACAGAGAAACTGAATTGATTTGTTGCATTCCTCACTAAAACAGGAAATGCCACTGCTAGAGCTCTTCTAGATGGCAGAAGAGGACCTGCCTGAAACTTGAGTGGCTATAAAAGCGTAAGGAGCATGTTGTCATAGTAAATAGAAATACATAACCTGGGCAAGGTGAAACGTGCCCAGGACTTCTAGCTGTATTCAAGAATGAAGAAGAGGTTACATGTTACAGTTGGTTATTCAGGTCACTTAAAACTGGCTTGATAACTAGAAAGTGGCAAATTAGTTAAAAAGGTTCCAGTGAGGATCTTTTTGCTGCAGGCTATAAATCTGATGGTCACACTGGGCAAAGTAGCAGAAAATACATTAAACAATAGAATTAGTCACCTGGGTAAATAGGATCTATTCGGAAAGATCAGCACAGCTTCTATAAAAACATAAAAGCATTCAAAGCTAGGGTTCCTCTTGGAGTTTTCTGAAATGAACAAAACAGTAAGGGTGATCTGATCAGTGGAACTAAGTTGGATTCTCCAGAAAGCTTTTTACAGAGCTGTTCACACAGGAAAATTTCAGCAAAGCAGCTGTGGGATAAAAGAGAGTCTTTGAATGATGTTCTGTTTAATAGATACGAAATATCTCATGTAGGGAAAGCATAAAAAATTAGCCCAGATCTGTAGCTTTATGTATTGAATGATAGGTTCCAAGTTTAATGTTCTTACTCAGAAGAGAGAACTTGGTTCTTCTGCATCTCTGATCTGTACCTCAAGACAGGATGCAGTTGAACTGGGAGTTTGAGAGGAGGGATTACCAGTGATGCGGATTGGCTTCTGTGCAAGAAATGTCTGTGTAAAATAGTACCCCTATGTCTGAAAGATTTCTAGAGGGGGGATGTGGTACCAGTCTCTAAGAGTGTACCTGGTGTAACAGCTGATGGTGGGGAGCAGTTGTTTTTACACTGACTGCAAGGAATAGTGAACCAGGAAACTAGTAGGAGCCATATTCAGAACTACTTGCAGGTAGAAGGTGGGTCTTCGTGCTGTGAGCCATGGACACAGGAGCTCTTTCCAAAGTACATTGTTGCATATGAAAACCTTCTATGAGTTCAAAAGAACAAGAGGAGAAATCCACCAATGACTTAAATACAAAAGAATTTCAAAACAGGCAATGCTGGGAGCTGGAAATTGATAATGTTGAGAGAGTATTGTATACATGCCTGTCTCTGTTCCTGCATCCTTGCTTAGGAGTGCATTTAAGTGCCAGCAGGAGAGGCAGGTTCTTGGTTAGGTGGACCTTTGACGTGGTCCAGTATGGTTGTTATTCTGTAACAACAGTACATATTGCAGAAGTCTCCAGATATTGGGCTTTTCTTTGGGGCGTGCTGGAGTCTGCCAAGATCTGGTCTTTGCATTGAGACATGCTAAAGGTGTGTTTTCTTTATTCAGATTGACTACTTTGAAAGAGCCAAGCGCTTAGAAGAAATTCCTTTAATAAAGACTGCATATGAGGAGCAGAGAGTGCATGATATGGAGCTGTGGGAGCAACAAGAAGAAGAAAGGGTAAGATGGTTTTTGTTGGATGATAAAGTCCATTAGTGGTGAATGAAAAATACTGGGGTTTGCACTTCTTTCTTCCCCCAGCTCAATCCGAGGGAAGAAACTGATGTAAAGAGTGAAGTGTTAGCTTCACAGTTTCATTGTGCTAGTGGGCAGCAGTGTCTTCTGCCTTAGATCTGAAAGAGGAAAAGATTATTCCTAGTGGCTGAGGTAGATGGAATACAAATATATAGCAAGATTTTACTGTGTAATACTTTGTGTATTTTCTGTTTTTAGATCACCACTTTGCAGTTGGAGCGTGAGAAAGCTCTTGAGCACAAGAACAGACTCTCAAGGATGCTGGAGGATAGAGATTTATTTGAAGCCAGGCTCAAAGCATCACGACGAACAGTTTATGAGGTACAGGAGCTATGGTATTGTAATAAAATGTTCCCCTAAAGTGAGGGAACCTACTTGGATAAGATAATATGCACAATAATATTAAAGCCAAGAAATACTCCTAGGTTTTATAGCTTTGATTATTTGGCCATGTTGCAGCAAGAACTGTTTAAAAAAAGACCCATGAAGCAAGGTATTAAGTTCAATAGCTGCATATGATTCTTTGCAACAGTATAGGTAATTTCTGTATAACTTCAGGTGTAGATAAATTATTCAGGTAATTCCTTTCCTGAAAAAGCAGGTGAAGGACTAGAATTGTACATGGTGATTGTGTTCTACATAGGAGTATATTCCCTTGTATGAAATCAACTGCAGAACAGGTTGCAAGGGCAAGCAGGTGTTTTTCTTCAGCACAGCAAAGTTAATATGCTGCAGTTGGTTTGCTTTTCAGCTTTATTTAGCAATCTGTGTAAGTGTCTAGCTCTTAAATGTTACAGTTCTGGTGTTTCCATGTGTGCTTCAGGATAAGCTCAAGCAGTTCCAGGAACGATTAGCGGAAGAGAGGCGTAACCGCCTGGAGGAGCGCAAGAGGCAGCGCAAAGAGGAGAGGCGCATTACTTACTACAGAGAGAAGGAGGAGGAAGAGCAACGATTACGAGAAGAACAGCTGCTCAAAGGTATTGAAAACGTGATCATTTTGTCCTTTGCATCCTTCACCCATTCCAGATGTGTATGTAGGTAACTCCTGGTTTCCCTGTGTCACGATATTGGAGGAAATCTTCTGACTTTCAGTCAGTGGTGAAAACTCTTCACTGCTATTAGATACTGTACCTTATCTTACCTGATGCACCCTCTGAATGCTTACCTGTGCACATAGAGATGAAGGTAAAGCTGTATAGGAGGAAGAGAAGATGAAAGCTAACGGATGCTTCCTGGCCTCCCGTTCTTCCAGAGAATAAAGAAGGACATAATTTAAGGGATGGTAATGAAAATTATGTCTTTGAATTTAGTCATTTAGTTTGAGTTCTGGCCACTTGTTTGTTCATATCTGAAATAGAATAGAAAGGGAACTTTGGTGTTGGATCAAGAACTTAAGCACTGTAAGCAACTCACACCTTTCTTTATGAATTGCTTTGTCTGGTAGCCAGGTGAAAGGCTTTAGAAAAGGTAATAGAGTGTATGTGTGTTTCTAACTCTGCAGAGCGTGAGGAAAAGGAGCGCATCGAGCGTGAGAAGCGTGAGCAAGAGCAGCGGGAATACCAGGAACGCGTCAAGAAACTGGAAGAACTGGAGAAGAAAAAACGTCAGAGAGAAATGGAAATAGAAGAGAGGGAGCGTCGTCGAGAAGAAGAGAGGAGAGGGCTGGATGACCCGTTCTCAAGAAAGGTGGGTGATACCTGCAGGATTCTCATCTTGTTGTCTGCTCCTTCTTTTGTAGATGACTTGGAAGAAGATGGTAGCATTGAAAACTTACTTTTCGGTTAATTCTGGTTTTGAAGTTGTAGCATAAGTGGCTAACTTAATAAGTCAGGTGATGGTCACTTAGTTTCAGCTCGCTGTCAGCATCTGGAATCTGTAGTTGAGTAATAACGTAAAACAAAGAAACTGCTAAGACCTCCAAGTTGTTTAAATTAATAAAGACTAAAAAGAATATTGAAGAAACCCACCTATTTCATTAACATGAAAGAATGAAAGCTGTATTGACTCTGTAGAAAGCTGTAGTGACTCTTGCCAAAGTCAGGAATTAGAGTAAATCATGAAGGAAAACCCCAGACTAAACATAAAAGCATAGTTTGATAAGAAAGAATAATTAAAACCAAGTGGTGTGTGCAACATTCCCACAAATATAAGCACGGGGGAAATGGTTATCCTACTCCAACAGGAAACAAAAGCTAAAATAAATGCTTAATGATTTAAAATAATGTAACAGAGTACCACAAACCTACGCTCCCACTTTCTCAGAATTTCTCAATAAGAGAACTGGCTTTTAAGTTTCATCCACCATAGCCATAATCTTTGTTTAATGAATACACCATTGAGTGACCCTGTGAAGATAAGTGATCAGAGCCTGTATAAATTGTTTTCATAGTCCATAGTCCAAACACCACTGGTATTTTTCACATCAGAGGTACTCCCAGCCATGGGCACTTGATCATAGGGAGAAGCTGGCTCAGGTTCTGAGAAAGAGAGAGAGATAACTGTACCACTTGAAAAATACCATTTGCAGTTTTGGGATTCTTTCTTTGCTCACTCTGGTTTGTTGGGGTCAGTTCAAAAGCATTTAAACAGACAGTCATGGAGTATTGGGTATGCAAGATCTTGTGCAACCTCTGTATTTCCCTGTATTAAAACTCTGACAAATAAAAACGCTTTTAAAGAGCAGTTTTAAAACCAGAACATCCTGGTATAATGAGGTTGTGTGGTGATGTGAAATCATGTATTTTGTATGGTTTATCTGATTTGCTTCTTGTGGTGGAATTAGGGAATGTGCTAGAAGTAGTTACATGGTTTGTTTTTGTCCAGAAATAGCAAGAGAGAGTTCACCCATATTAAAAAAAGACAATATCTATTATTGCACTGCCCTTCAGCTAAACAACTTGTACAAAACACAAATCCCTTAGCAGTTCTGTGCGTTGGGGTGCTCTGAACAAAGTGGCTACACAGAGCTTTCAGTTTATTCAGTTACATTTTCTGATCTGATTAGAAAGCACAAAAGCAAATAATTCTTTGCATTCATTCGAACCGTCGTTAAGCAGCAGGGAAAGTGAAACTGTTAAAACCTCTTGTTGTGTTCATAGGTGGTAGCTATGGTTCACTGTAGGTATTTATTGTTCATGCATTTGTTCATACACTTTTTAGTGTATTTGCACATATTGTACCCTACTAGTAAAGTATGGCACAAAGGGAAACATAAAGTTAGTTAAGACCATACTTAAGTATGTAACGTAACATAAGTTACTCAAACTCCTGATAGTTCAGTATTATCTACAGTGTGACAGGTAAGTTTTTAAAGCCAAAGTATGCTCTGAAAGGAGTAAATTCTGTGTTGAAAATCTTCATGTTGAAGTATTGAGAGAGAATGTTCTGATTTCTTTTGACTTTCAGGAGTCTCGCTGGGGTGATCGGGAGTCTGAGAGCTCCTGGAGAAGAGGTGGTGAGGCAGAATCGGAATGGCGACGAGCACCAGTGGAAAGGTAATTCCTGAGTTACTGAGCCCCAGTACTGGGCTGAGAATGTGTAGGCTGCTTTGATGGTGTCACTGCTAAAGCTGCACTAACTGAATAATACCTCATGCCTTACTTCTCTGAAAGTTGCCTTTACTGAAACAAATCCTTTGGAAGGATCTCAAAATGAGAGGGAGGATTTATCTTGGAATTCATTCAGATAACATTCCTGGTTAATTTCTGTCCTGCCCAAACGCTGCTATCAGTTGTATAATTGTCGAATGGGGAAGGTTGAGAAGCAAGTGCAGGGATCCTGGATGATGAAGCAGTTTGAGATTTTCCATTTAGAAAACTGAAAGTAATATATAAGGTAAGAGCAGGAAAGTCAAAATTCAGAGTCTTAAAACTATTCAAATCCTGGAGTGAGTCCAGAGCAGAAAATCTGTGCCACAGGTGAAAACAAAGTTCTGAAAGACTATTACAAAGACGAGGAAGGATTTCTGAAGGAAGGTACCTTGTCTTTTAAAAACCAACAACATAGCAAAACCCTGCGAACAAACCCACACAAACCCCCCCAGAAGATACTTGTTCACATGTACATATTTTAGGAGTTCTGGGTATGTTCACCTGTACTGATGGAGGTACCACTCTTTGGTCCAGTTGGCAATATGTTTTGTTGCTTAATAGCCTTCCAGGTAGATAGATTTTTACAAATGTCCAACCCTGATCTCCAGAGCAGCAATTTACATCCATTACGCTTCCTCCAACTCCAGTGAAGCAAATTCATTTACTTTCTCTAGTAATTCCGTCTAACGTTGGAAGAGTACCATCTCTCGATAAGCAAAACAGTCTTTTTCTGTCTTTCCTTAACAGCTGTGTTGCCTTTCTTAGTAGTGATCCACTTTCTTGTGAGTTGCAACATTAAAAATCAAACTCCTGGGTGAAGCCTTGAGCTATTAACATATAGCAGAAGTGTTTAATGCGTCTAATTATATGCTTCAGTGTGATCTTCCCCCCACCACACACACAGTGATACATGTGACCCATATTAATCTATGAATCATTATAGCGTAGAGTTTTTCTGAACAAGTGTTGTCTTAGTCATTTTGGAAGCCATGGCTGCCCCATCCCTTAAGTGTTAAAAAAACAGGACAAGGGGGATGGCTTGAACCTGCCAGAGAGAGACTGAGATGAGCTCTTAGGCAGAAGCTCTTCCCTGTGAGGGTGCTGAGGCGCTGGCACAGGGTGTCCAAAGAAGCTGTGGCTGCCCCATCCCTGGCAGTGTTCAAGGCCAGGTTGGACACAGGGGCTTGGAGCAAGCTGCTCCAGTGGAAGGTGTCCCTGCTCATGGCAGGGGTTGGAGCTGGAGGAGCTTTAAGGTCCCTTCCAACCCAAACCAGTCTGGGATTCTATGATTTCTCATCCAGCTTTTATAGAAATCAAGCTGAGTGACTGCCAAAAGGTTAAAATTAGGCATGTTTTGCACTAGTACGTAGCATGTTCAATAAAACTTTCCTTCTGTCTTTTACTAAAAGGAATATACTGAGGAATACTAGAAGGAAATACCAATAGCAGTCAAAACTAGTAACTCTATGGAATTTCAACTCAAGCAGTGTTTCTTAACTATTTTATTTTTTGCTGAACTTAGGAAATAACAAAGTGATGAGGCCCAGACATAATTGCAGTGAAAGGTTTAATGCTTCATTCTTCAGTAGCCTCATTCTACCTTCAGTTGGATTTTAATTCTGAAGAGAAGTATATTGAATACAAAGACAGCGGTGCAAACCTCACGCTAAGTAAAGTAATTCCAAAGTGTATTCCTAAATTGAGTGATAAATGCAGTAACAGCATCAGATTTAATTTGCAGCATGTAAGTACACCTATTGGATATATACTGTAAAAAGGCTTTATGGCTGCTAGTCAAGGAGAGAAGCTATAAAATCTGTCTCACGGACAGTGGAAATGGCACAGTCCTGGTATACATGCTGTATTGGTACAGAGATACTTACAGTCGTGGACAACCAATTGTACTAAGCAGCAATCCCCAGAATGCTGGACCCCAGGGGACTAGCATGTTCCAGTGTTAGTCTGTTCCATACCATGGTTCCAGTTACAAGAAAAAGGATTACAGAAAGGCAGAAGAGTCCAGCAAGGGCTGTCTGCCTTTTGGGCAGCTTTACAGTGAGGTGTAACTAACTTGTGAGTATTTGCTTTGTTCCTTCACTATGCAGGAAAGGTTAAAGTTCCCATAAGAAACAAGAGCAAAACAAAACTAACGATGTAAGAAAATAAGGAAGAGAAGAAAGTCAATTCTGATACAGAAAAATATTACAAATATTGTAGCTGGAGAAACAGGTTAACATAGAAGTGCTGTGAAGGAGTTTAATTAAAAGCCAGTTTATTTAAAAGAAAAAGTAACCTCTTGTTCTTTAGATCACAGAAAATCCATAAAATTCTGCCAAGAACTGGGTGCTTGCTCAGGGAGACCATGAAATGGCAACTAATACAGACCTGGTGTTCACTAGACAAGGCAGGGCAGTGTTGCAGGCTTTCCTACTTAGCACAGCCCATTAGAGCTGTTACCAAAACAGGTTGTTATCCCAGAGGGTCAACAAATGTGTATGTGGTTATGGTCAAAAAATACTAAAAGCCAGAACATACAGAAAAGGGGAGTTAACCCCTATTTTATGACTGTGCTGTTTGTGCCTGGGTTAAGACAAGCAAAATGGGTACAAACCTGTCGCTACAGCCTGGATTTGGTCACCAAGTTTGTGCTTTATTTGGTAAAGCCACCTGCAGGCTTTCAGCTCTTGTGGGTCTGTGTGTAGGATTTTGAGAGGTTATTGCAAAATGGAGATAGCAAGTGGATTGCATTGTTAGCAGTCACTGCTGTTCAGTAATGTTCTTAGTATTCATGCTTCCTCTGTTCTTACTCATCTATCAGATGCTGTTTGATTTAATGTCAGTAAACTTTTAAAGTGGGAGTTGGGATTTCTGAGAGGGAAAGAAGGACAAAAGCTGAAATCTGAACACTAAAGTTGTCAAATGAGAAAACACGTAAAACCAACAGAGCTATAATTTCACTTGCAAGCTCAAAAATGGGTTTAAAAATCCCCACCCCCTGAAACAATACCAGAGTATGAATGAATGAAATGCTTGCTCAGTTTATGAATTTTATAACCGTTTCTCTGCATGTCTTTTATGTCAAAATAATCAGGTTTTTGCAAGGAGAAGATGATGCAATTTGAGTCTAAATTGAAGCTAACAATCTCCATGTCTTGTTTTTATCTCACAGTTCAATGGTAATCGCATTCATCCAAAGCTAGGAAATAACACTGCTCCCAGTTCCTTGATTTTTCTTGAGCTGCAGAGTTGTCACAAACTGTTGCCTCTTTGTTCTCACCTCTTGCAGTCCTACATCTGTTGTTTTGTAGCAAGTCCTTGCTGTGCTTTTGTTTGTATTTTAGTGGCAGGGTGGATTTCTTAACCAGGGAGTGGGTGGTGGTTGGTTGTTTGGTTTTGATTTTACTTCTTGAAGCCATGAGATTCAGCCCCAGTGCAGCTTCTCTTGCCAGGGAGCAGGTACCAGTACATCTCTGTGATGTACTGGTCCTTCTTTACTGCTCAGGAACTAGCTTAGATAGGGTGATTTCCTGAAATAAAGAAATTAATCTGGTGATGAAGTCAAGGCGTATGGTCTAAATCTGGGTGTAAAATCCTGTGGACATTGAAGTAAATGGTGCGTCCAGCAAAGAGACAAGAGTGGAAGGCTCTAATTGTTGTTCAGCAGTGTCAGATCTTTCCAGCGTTGCACATCCAAACGTATTTCCAAGATGACTGATGACTCAGTAGCCTAGGGAACGCTACCAGTTCTTCACATCCCACATACATCCCTGGTAAGGAGAGTCTGTGCAAGCACTGCCAGGGCCTGGTGCACCCCGCTCACTGTCAAGCGGTAGCAGTGGGTTGAGTCATGAGTTTACTACATTGTGCAGCTCTGTCTAGTTGGGGGTGCTGGTCAGTGAAAGTATTGCCAATCTCTTGGGCTGGGACTGTGCCAAAACATACGAAAACAGGGATTGGACTAAAGGGTTGGCATGTGAATGAAGAAGGGGGATACTTACTTGATGTGGGGTTTTAATACTGATTCGACTTAGCTTGAGTTTGTTAAATTAGGCTCAGTATAGAAGCCAGACCTCTTCTCTGTTGTTGCAGCAGGTAACCAACAGGGACTGTAGTTACTCCTTCAAACTGTAGTTTTGAAGGAAATAGTAAACTGCTCAGTCTTTACTGAGGCTGTAGGGATGGTGACCTACTGTTTTCCCATAGCAATGAAGGCGGTTAGTGCATTTGAACACTGCATGCTCTGCATATGTGTTTGCAACCACACGCTAAGTGGATACATTCAGAAGTGGCCTTGAGGGGTTTGATTCTGTCTAATATAAAGCTTTCCTGGATGTCAGCTTCTGTGCTCATTCCCTATGGTTTTGTAGAGATTGGCGTCGAGGGGAAGCGAGAGATGATGAAAGATCTTTCCGACGTGGTGATGATCTACCTCGACGTGGTGACGATCTACCCCGACGTGGTGCTGCAGAAGAAAAGGAACGTCCTTCTGTGGATTCAGCAGAGGACAGGCCACCTAGACGTGAAGGGGAGGAGGAGAGACCCCCCAGGCGTGAAGGGGAGGAGGACAGGCCGCCCAGACGTGGATTGGATGAGGACAGGCCGCCCAGGCGAGGTTTGGATGATGATAGAGGCAGTTGGCGGGCTGCAGATGACGACAGAGGTCCCAGGCGTGGAATGGATGACGACAGGCCACCTAGACGTGCTTTGGATGATGACAGGCCACCTAGACGTGCTTTGGATGATGACAGACCACCCAGGCGTGGCTTGGACGATGACAGAGGCAGTTGGCGTGCAGCAGATGACGACAGAGGACCTAGGCGTGGAATGGATGATGACAGGCCACCCAGACGTGCTTTAGATGATGACAGGCCGCCCAGACGCGCTTTAGATGATGACAGGCCACCCAGACGAGGGCTAGATGATGACCGGGGCAGCTGGCGTGCTGCAGATGATGACAGGGGTCCCAGGCGTGGGATGGATGATGACAGAGGCCCCAGGCGCGGGATGGATGACGACAGGATGTCAAGGCGCGATGACGACAGGGGGCCTTGGCGAAGCACAGATGACGACAGGCTGTCCAGACGAGATGATGATCGGGGCCCATGGCGTGGTGGTGATGATTCAAGGCCAGGTCCTTGGAGACCATTTGGGAAACCAGGTAAAATACAGTGATACAATAATCTTCCCTCCAAAGAGTGTCTTAACCCAGTAGGTAATGGGTGTAGTGTACTTGGGGCCAGAGGTGGGAGAATCAGCTCTGAAAACATCTGGATTAATTTGGCTAATGTGGGCACTCTGTTACTTAGTATAATGCAGCCTTTTTGATTTGGTTGAATTAAAGATAAAAGAAGTGCAATGTCAATTGCTTGCTTGGAAGATACCTAAAGGTCACAGAGTAATGGCCGCGTGCAAAAACAAAGTACACAAGTTAAATGCTCTTGATGGGAGAGAAACACTCTTAGCACGCCTCGGTCTCTTACCCTTTCTCCTCTGTATCTGAAATTAACTTCCTCCTGAGGAGGATTTTGATACATCATTGAAGTGGGTCTGGTTTTGAGAGGCCTTTTTTATGTGTACAAAGATATGACTGGTGTTACCATAGTTCTTTTTTGCTTTGGTGTCTACCTTTGTTGAAGATCCTGCTTTGAGCAGGAGATGGTAAGGAATGCGTCAGGAGGTTGTGCACTCCAATCTGAATTACTGTATTCTTGTCTAGTTTATTTCTAGTCTTAAATCATGTTGACAGTGAATAGAACAACTGTTTCCGATTCTTTTTAGAGCTGTTGATGTTTAAATATTAAACATTATTTTTATCTGGTTCTTTTTATTCAGATTTATGTATTCACAGGCACCACATCAACTTCATAGACACTAATTCTGTAATCCAGACCTGTAGGAAAGTTACCATAAATCTCAAAATCCGCACTCCAATAGTTTTCTCCTTTCTCCTCTCCAAAGAAAAAGCACAATAAAGAACTCCCAGTCATAAACAACTGCATGATACTGCAGGATGCACTGTGTAAGCAGGTGGTAAATGAGAGTCTTATTTTAAAGTAGTGCTTTAAAGAACAATAAGCTCTTAAAGTTCTCTTGCCTAAAATCTCTTCCCTTGTAGATTTTCACAAAGAATCTGCTGTCTAAGCTCTAGTCCCTTTACTCCTTCTCATACTGAAGTAAAACCCTTCCTGCGCTTGTTTTGCCCAAGACCCTTGAGAGGTTTGTGCTTTCTGCCTGAAAGCTGCAGTGTTTCAGGCAGAACTGATGGATAAGGTACATAGTAGTATCCTTGTATTATTCTACAGTGTTTTGTGTGTGGCTCCCGCTCAACGTGCACACTTTGTACAGGCATCTTGAGTTGGATCCTCAGAGATGAAAACCTGAACAACCAGTTTCAGTGAGGGAAGTAAAGGGTTCTTTGTCTCCAGGGAGATCAGAGCTCAGGCACGGATTCCTTTCACTGTTTCTTATTTACAGGGGGATGGAGAGAACGGGAAAAGGCTCGTGAGGACAGCTGGGGGCCTCCCCGGGACTCCAGACCTCCAGGAGACCGTGAATGGGATCGAGACAAAGATCGGGATGAAAACGAGAAGGACCGGGAGTTCGACAGAGAGAGGGATTTCGATCGAGAGGATCGTTTCAGGCGTCCCAGGTTGGAGTCCCTGCTTAACGCTCCCACAGTGTTTCTGTTTAAACAGCAGTGCCCTGTTGATAATGGGACCTGACTGAGTGAAAGGAACAGTGTTGGGCTGTATGAAATTAAGTACTTGAAGGCAGTAAGTGGATACAGGCCAGGCTGGATGGGGCTTAGAGCAAGCTGCTCTAGTGGAAGGTGTCCCTGCCCGTGGTAGGGTGTTGGAACTGGATGAGCTTTAAGGTCCGTTCCAACCCAAACCAGTCTGTGATAGTATGGTTCCATGATTTTAGACCTTTTTTTGTTACTTTTAAGACAATGTTAGCTGTTTACAGAAGAGATTCCACAATGCTTTACTGCTTTTAATTTATTTTTAACCTTTTATCAAGAGAATTTCATGTTAGGCCTCAGAAAAACGGAAGAGGTTTTGGAATTATGTCACTATGTTAAAGAGATGCCCGCTGGGCCTGAAGACAGCTGTGCTATGATTTAGCATTGCTGCTTTCCATAGCAAAGGTAAAATCTTAACATTTAGTCTTATTTCGTGTTTTGAATGGCAATAGGGATGATGCTGGCTGGAGAAGAGGACCAGCTGAGGAAACTTCTAGCTGGAGAGATTCAAGTCGTCGTGAAGACTGGGACAGAGGTGGTCGTGACATGAGAGATCGACGTACTGATGACAGAGATACACCCCTCAGGAGAGGACCACCCCCCAGATCTGACCGTGAAGAACGTACGTTTATTGCAGTGACAGGCCAAGGGGAATGGCTTGAACCTGCCAGAGGGGAGACTGAGCTGAGCTCTTAGGTAGAAGCTCTTCCCTGTGAGGGTGCTGAGGCGCTGGCACAGGGTGCCCAGAGAAGCTGTGGCTGCCCCATCCCTGGCAGTGTTAAAGGTTGGACACAGGGGCTTGGAGCAAGCTGCTCTAGTGGAAGGTGTCCCTGCCTGTGGTAGGGGTTGGAACCGAGTGAGCTTTAAGGTCCCTTCCAACACAAACCATTCTTTGTTTCTGTGATCATAAGGCCTTCATGTTACTCTGACAGTGAAAGGATGTGGTAAAGTGGGAATAAATTATATTTTCAGGCACTTAAACACCCTTTGCATAAGCAAAGTGATAGAAAGAAGCTTTAGCATCATTGAGAATTCTTCCTTGAATCTTAACTTTTTTAGTTGCACTCTTTTCTAGCACAGTAGCATTTCACATCTGCAGGGGAAGGATAACATTTGAAGTGTGCTGTTCCCATAGTACTTTTCATGTTCAGGGTGAATGAATTTCTCATACTGAAATTATCAAGACAGACCTCCCAGAAATTTCTGGTTCACTTAAAACTATTCAAGTGTGAGGGGAAACACTTCCAGACAAGGCCCTATGGCTTTCACACTATTAATGCTACTGAGTTTTATGAATAACCTATTATAATTGTAATGATAACCTATTATAATGTGTTTTGAAAGCACAGGAACAGCAATACATTTAGCCTGAAATACCGCATCTCCCAGTTCTGGCATTCTCATGTTCATTTGGTGTGTGCCTCAAGTGTGAGTGGGGGTAGGACATGATATACAGGATCCCAGGGGTGAGGGTTCTCAATGTGAAGATTAGTTTTATCTATATTTTTAATGTATCAAGAGGTTTTTGTGTTTGGCTGCCTGATTGGTGTTGGACACAGCTTTGTTCACACCTAGCTGGGGCAGAGTTCTTAACTCCCTTCTAGTGGACATTAACAGTTCCTCATACAGTAAAGAATGGGGAATGCTGTTACCAGCAGGGTTGTGTAGTTCAGTGCTGTGTAAACCTCTGGTTTCAGGAGGCTGAAGAGTAATTTGCTGTATTTTGAGGCAGTGAACATTTTCCATGAGTGTTTAAGTTAGGATTTTTCCATTTCAGGGCTCAGTCATGGCTCCGTAGACTTATGCATGTCTGAGTGGGAACAGGAGGTCACCAACCATTTCCTCTTGGATTATGGGGAGTTCAGTCAGCTCCTCATCTCTTTGCTTCTCAATTGCATCTCAATGCTTTGTGCTTTTAATTCTAATAATAATAATAATACAAGAATATATTTTTACATCATAAACCCATGTACATCAATAGAACATTCTTACATGTTTTAAAGATGACGCTTGGCTTCCCCACAACAATCCCAAACCTGGAAAGAGGCTCGAGTAGTTCCTGTCCATTACTTCACTATCAAGTTAAACTGCATTTGGCTGTTGTCATCACGTTACCTCTTGGCAGGAGTGAGAATCAGTAAATCAGGCTGTTGGTGGTGGGCATATTTGTTTAAACTGTGCTAGTGGAGCATGACAAAGGTGGTTTTACTGTCTCTCTCTGTAGCAAGCTCGTGGCGACGCGCTGACGACAGGAGAGAAGAACGTGGAGAAGAACGTGAGACAGTTCGGCGCTCGGCCCCTGCTTCTGCTGCTTCCTCAGCTTCTGCTCCCCCAGCAGCAGCAAAGGATCGAGAAAGAGATGGGGAGAAGGAGAAAGGTTCCTGGAAAACAGAGAAGGAACGTGAGCCCGTTCGCCGTACGAAAAACGAGACAGATGAAGAAGGGTGGACCACTGTACGGCGTTAAGTGGAGATCAGCAGAGTTTAACCAATGTTTTAGCTTTGATTTGATGGAATCCACAGATTATATTTGTGCTTATAAACATTCTGAATTGGAATTCTTTAACAAATGTTTTGAGGTAACATGAAAGCATGAGCTTGAATTACTTACTCATATAGATTGATCATGCACAAAACTCACAGCAGAAGGTTGGGAATTGAATGCCAGGATTTGAAATTCCAAACGATGCTTCTTTCATGGGTCACTGGTTGCTAAAATAAAAAGAAGCAAGCCCAATTGTCCTGAGTAGTGCTTCCATCTCACACCAAAACAGGATGACCTTTTCAGTTTTAGAGTGCTTCTTAATTTGGAACGGGGTATTAGCTCCACAGAACATGCATTAAAATCACCTCTGTCCACACAGTGGAAAAAGCAGAGCTAAATGAAGCTCCATAATTAGCCAAAAGATAAGAAAAACAATATAAAAGCCCTCTTTTACCTGGGTATCTTTGAGGGCAGGCGGTTTGAAACATGATTTATTGCTATCTAAATGCAGTAAGTTGTTCAAATTTGACTAAAATAGGATAAACATGAGCATCAGCTGCACTGGGCTGTCTTCTGTAGATTCACTTGAAGCCATGCGCCTGCAAGGCCACTCTGCAGTCATGGTTCCAGTACTATGTTCTGCTGCAACAGGACAACCACCCAACTTCCAGCTTTTACAAACTCAGTGTTTCGGTAAGCATATGGCTGTGTATTTTCTGTTGCCAACATCACAACTGCTTTTCCCATTCCTGGATAATTCATTGCCTTTCAAGGATTTATAAATATTGTCCTATTTAAAATGTGTGTTTTTTGGAGAAATTGTTGAATTTTCCCCCAATTCTTTGTCTTCAGGGTCAACTCTTTCCCTTTCCAAAAAAAAAAGTGATCTGTAGTAATGGCTGTGTTGATTTCAACTTTGGGTGCAGTAACAACGAGCAATTATCTGGTTATACTGAGGCCAACACAGAACTTGCTGCTGTGTGTTTCTTCAACGATAAATAAACAACTTAAGGAATTAGCTGCTGCAGCCTCTTGACTTCTTTCCTGCAAGGTACGTTATGGCAAAACTCTTTCCTGTCCATGTACCTATTTCTGCACTAGATGGAGAACACTGGAATACCTGGGAAAGTTTATTCATTCCTGAGAAACCTGCTTTAATTCTAATGGGTGTGAACAGAAGTTGTAATGCTCTTTGTGTCCTATCATTGCTCTCCTCTGAGTTAGCCAGGACCAGTAGGTTTCTCAGGGAGAGCTTGGTTAGATGTTTGTGCCTTTAGAGCCTGTTACATCATTGCTTGTTGAGTCACAGAATTCCTTCAGAAGAGTGGTTGTTTCTAAGCAAAAAAAAAACAACACTGTGGGTTTTGCTTACCACAGAGTTCCTACAAGGGATGGAACTAGAGAGCAGCAGTTATCCAGTAACAGAAAATATCTATAGGCTTTGGAGCAGTTTGTGCTGCTTTTGTTCAGCTGCCTTTTGCTGTCCTTATATTCTGTGTAAGGGATCACAGGATCATGCCTGCTAAAGGGGACCCAGGAGCTTACATCCCTTCTGGCTCTGAAATGATTGTTACTCAGAGCACTGTTTTTTCTACTGTGGTCTTGAAAACCTGCAGGGCTGTAGAGGGCACAGCCTGTCCAGGCAATGTTTGCCAGTGTGAGGCTGTGCCTAGGCTGAAAAAAACAGAATCCCAGAATGGTTTGGGTTGGAAGGGACCTTAAAGCTCATCCAGTTCCAACCCCTGCCATGGGCAGGGACACCTTCCACCAGAGCAGCTTGCTCCAAGCCCCTGTGTCCAACCTGGCCTTGAACACTGCCAGGGATGGGGCAGCCACAGCTTCTCTGGGCACCCTGTGCCAGCGCCTCAGCACCCTCACAGGGAAGAGCTTCTGCCTAAGAGCTCAGCTCAGTCTCCCCTCTGGCAGGTTCAAGCCATTCCCCTTGTCCTGTCCCTACAGGCCCTTGTCCCAAGCCCTCTCCATGTTTCCTGCAGCCCCTTTAGGCACTGGAGCTGCTCTAAGGTCTCCCCTTCAGGAGCCTTCTCCAGGCTGACCCAGCCCAGCTCTCTCTGCCTGGCTCCACAGGAGGTGTGTTCCATCCCTCATCATTTTTGTGTTATTTAAAAAGCTTAACCCTCCCTTCAGCTTTTACCTGGTATCATCCTCCTGCCTATGCGCTGCTGTGTGAAGGCCTGAATTTTCCTGATAGCTTCCTGGTTGGCTGCTGTTGGGTCTCCCCCAGGCCTTCCCTTCCCCAAGCCAACCAAACCTCTTCCCTCAGCATTTCCTTCCAGGCACCTGCTCCAGCCCCTTAACCCCAGTCTAGCATAGCCAGAGCTGCTTCCTTCCTCCACCCTTGTGGAATCTCATCAGGTTCCTGCCCTGCTCTGCCCCAAGGGTCCTGACTGGTCCTGCAGCTTTGGTGTCATCCACAAACCTGTGCTGCTGCCTTCATGTCCTTGAGCAGATACTGGTTCAGGTCCCAGGACACCCAGCTCCAGGAGCAGTCCAGCCATTGACCCTGACCCTCAACACCCAACCATTTGTCCTGCCCACCTTGCTGCCTAAGCTGTTAACAGCTTAACTTGGATGCAAGAACACTGTGTGAGTGTTGAAGGCCTTGCTAGAGTTGAGGTGATGAATGTCCACTGCTCCTTCCCTTGTCCACAGAGCTATTCTGTTGAAGGCAGGTGAATCAGTCATGGTTTGCCCTCTGTTAACTTCATGCTGACTGTTCCCAGTTACCCTCTCCAAAACCATGCTCTGACACAGCTGCTTCCTTCATGGTTGTCCCAGGGAACCGAAGCAATCCCATCTGGCCTGTAGCTTCTTAGATGTTCTTTTGACCACTTTTGAAGATTTCCCTTTCTCCAGTCACCATAGAGATGTAAAGAGTGATAATACCTCCAGTTACAGATCTAATCCATTTGGACATGGGAATGAACATCAGTGACTGTTGCACCAGCTAAAGCTCTGTTCCCAAATCTCTGTTCTTAACTTCCATCACCTGTGATAACGGTGCCAGGATGATGTAAAACACTCAAGAGATGGGCAGCTTGAGGAAAGACCTGCGAGGTGTGAGCTTCACAGACATGCTTAGTGTGCTTATTCTATTGCCTGATCATTTCAGACAGAACACTAACCACAGGGATCAAACCCAACAGCTAAAACCCCCAGCTACTGCCACAATTACATGTGAGCATAGAGTATGGTTACCTGAAAATGTTGAAGTCAAATGATTGTTGTGATTGATCCATGTTCAGTTCAACACCTAAAATGTTTAGTGAACCTTACAATACAAGCACCACAGGCTCTATTCAGAAGGCAGAACTTCAGGCTGCTGCTGGCTAAATGAATGCAAATGTTGCTTGACTAAAACAGGTCTCCAAGAGCAGAGCAATGCAGCTAACCAGGTATGAACAGTTCAGTGTCTTTCCTGCTCCAGGAGCTGCCCCAGAGGCTGGGCCCCAGGTGGTGGGGCAGGGCTGGGGACCATCAGGGTGTATGGCACAGGTATTTTGATGCATCCTTCAGGAGTTTTGATTATGTGCCACAGGCATTTTAATAATGCCACCCAGAGGTGGCCCATGTGAACCTTATGGGGTTCAACAAGGCCAAGTGCAGGGTCCTGCATCTGGGTTAGGGCAATCCCAAGGAAAAACACAGGCTGGGGGAGACCGGATGGAGCAGCCCTGAGGAGAAGGACTTGGGGATGTTGGGAGAGAAGAAGCTCCCCATGACCCCACTTCAGTGTGCACTTGAGCGCAGAACCCCCCCATGTGCTGGGCTGCACCCCAGAGCGTGAGCAGCAGCTCAGGGAGGGGATCCTGCCCCTCTGCTGCGCTCTGGGGAGACCCCCCCCTGCAGCCCTGATCCAGCTCTGGGGCAGCAGCACAAGAGGGACCTGGAGCTGTTGGAGCGAGGCCAGAGGAGGCCATGGAGATGCTGCGAGGGCTGGAGCAGCTCTGCTCTGGAGCCAGGCTGAGAGAGCTGGGCTGGGGCAGCCTGGAGAAGAGAAGGCTCCTGAAGGGGAGACCTTAGAGCAGCTCCAGTGCCTAAAGGGGCTGCAGGAAACCTGGAGAGGGGCTTGGGACAAGGGCCTGTAGGGACAGGCCAAGGGGAATGGCTTGAACCTGCCAGAGAGGAGACTGAGCTGAGCTCTTAGGCAGAAGCTCTTCCCTGTGAGGGTGCTGAGGCGCTGGCACAGGGTGCCCAGAGAAGCTGTGGCTGCCCCATCCCTGGCAGTGTTCAAGGCCAGGTTGGACACAGGGGCTTGGAGCAAGCTGCTCCAGTGGAAGGTGTCCCTGCCTGTGGCAAGGGGCTGGAGCTTTCAGGTCCCTTCCAACCCAAACCAGGCTGGGGTTCTGTGATTTACAGAATGCCTTTGTTCTAAAAAAAAAATAAAAAATTAAAACCCCCCACAATATTGAGAACTGCAGACCAGGGCAGGGCAACAAATGAAGTGGTTCCACTCCAGCCTGGGCACAGACACAACTGCTTCTTGGGACTCCATCACACAGAGCTTGGAGGAACCAGGAGCACACTGTGCAGCTGCAGTGCAGGCAGGAGGCCTTCTCAAACAGGAAGAGTTCTCCAGGTCTTGCTTTGCTGTAGAAGTGATGCATCGTTGTTTTAATATCCGTGGGCTGCTGCCATTGACAGGAGCTGCTACATGACATTAAGTTTCCCTTCTGTAACTAAATGGTGCTGTTCAGTGGTGTAAGGCTACAAAGTGAAGGGGTTTGGTCAGTGAAACACACAATTCCCAATTTAGCCATGATTCAGACACTGGTGCCCACCCTGGGTTTTTCACCACAGGGCTGCAGGAAACAGGCACACAAGTGGCATAACTACACCCCCTGATTCTTCCTATTTGACCACAGCAGGAGCAGTTAGGACTGAAATGTCCTGCACTTTGTCTTGTCCTCCTCTCAAAAAGAATCGTTAATGCATTTAATTATGGTAGGATGGAGATTCCATGAGCTAAGCAACATCTCCCCTCCTGCCATTTAAGCTTCCTTAGTTGTTTCACTCTTTGGCAGGAGGAAGATCTACTGCCTTCCTACAGCTTTTTCTATGTATTTAGTGCATCAATTCTGTTTTATTCCATCAACAGGCACATCAGAAGGAATTCTCTTGCTCCCCATGTGATGGGTCACAAACTACCTCCAGTAAATATTAACCTGTATATTCGGTGGGTCAGACTGGCACATCCATAAGAAAAAGACACTTCAGAACCACTGTGGTTTAGTCCCATGGCAAAGCAGCAAGCACAGGGCCTCTGGGCAGGAGACCATGAGCAAACCCTGTCCAAACAGCATTTCCACTGCAGATGGCTCCAGACGTACCTGACTTCAGCTGATAGAGTTATTTACACAGCTGAAATTAGTTTGTCATTAGAAGTAGCTTGCTCGTTGCCAAGACTAGGGTCAGCTGAGGGTGACTATAGGCTGTCCAACACTCTGTTCACTCCTCTTATCAGAACATCACTATGGAAAGCCCCATCCCTTACAAGCTTAGTAGCATTTCCCTGTAACCCAGGGATTCTCTGAAGATAAAGTATTTGATGTAAACCAGTGGCCGTAATACTTTGATTTGCAGATACACATAGAATAAATGGAAACAACATCTGGTTTTCTTAGACCTCTTCAGTGGAGCATAAGCAGCTCCAACCCAGGCTGCTTTCACATTAATCTATTTGCTACTCCTAGGACTTAAACTACTAATGTAAATGGTTTCCAGTATTGAAGAAATGAAAGTAACACAGTAAGCACCATCTATTGTAATAAGCTCTGTGGAGTGACCAAGAACAAGCATGTTTCTGCTCACTTGGTGCCACAAGGAGTGTGCTGGTGCACAGGAAAGCACAGCTGCTTACTTTAAAAACAACCCAAAACGCCCTTAAAGGCTCGGTCTTTACAAGATGATGACTTACAAAACTTTAAAGGGCAAAATACCCTGATGAATGATCACATAAAGTAACTCAAGAGCCCTGTTCTCAGGCTGCCTTTTGCCAGA